CATTAATGTAACAAATTAAAACAAGTTACTAATTAAATAATATTAAGGTTTCCAATTAATTTTTCATCATAATTAACTGCCAGAACAATAGTCACAAACAATTGCATTAAGAAAACATAATATTTTAGAAACAAAATATCTATAAATTTGATGTTTACATAATTAATAAATAACAAATATTGAAAATTGAACATTAAAATACATCCAAACATTAAAAAGAAACTTAAGGATTCAAAAAATGTATTTGATAGCTTAAGGATTACAACCATAAATATACAATGGCACATTTTAAAATTGACTAATTAAATATTAAAACATAATGTACATACTTTTGTATACTTAAGCCTAATATTTTGTTCCTGTACTTATAATATATAAGTTTAAGTACTTAAATAAGATACATACCGGTGCAATATTTTGTAACTTAGATTGTTCACATTTTTGTATTACATTTTTATTACTGACTTGCATCTCTACTTCAGTTGTATTATTAGCCACATCTCTAGTTCTTTTCTTAGACATATTTGTGTTTTGACTATAAAATTATTATTAAATAATAATATTTGAATCAATGATAAAAATAATTAATTAATTTAAAAATAATTCAACAGAATTGAACTAATTTTAAACTATTAAAACATAGATACATATATTTTGATAAGTAATATAGTGTTAAATTAAAACTAAAATAATTTCTTTAATATTTTAAACTGTTCTTACTTCTTCCTATTTCAATGAAAAATTTGAAGAAATTATTTAATAATTAATCCTTAGTAACCCTTCATTGTAAATTTGTAATTAATCACATTTATTTCATCATATTCAAATAATTTCAAAACTTAATAAATTTAATCATGAATAATAAAATGTTCTTCGTAAAATATAAAATTTACTTAATTATAAATTAATGATTTATAAAAGCACAAATTAATCAAAAATAATATTACTATAATATATTATAGAAAAATAAATTGTTATTTACAATATTTTTTAAATAATTAATGGAAATTAAATACATAAAATTTGAGACTGAATGCCTATATAAGCTAGATATACCTTTTCTAAACATTTAACTAATTAAGGTGTTTTCCAAAAATATGTGAAAAATATACTGTAAAATTAATAAAAAAAAATCCATTCCACCCTCAAATCAAAATAAAATTAAAAATTTCATAATCATAACATCAAATACATTTAGTACAAAACTATATCTTTAAATATCTAATATAAATTTTAGTTTTAGACTTTAAAAAAAAATAAAGATTTTACTGAACATTTTTTTAATTAAATACTACATGCTTACTGAAAATATGGCGTTAATTACATTAATAAAACATTAGTTGATATAATTCAACGTAAGAGCATTAATAACAAAATATGATGAATGACTTATGTTACCATCAAGTAGGTACTAAAATCAAACAATATTTCATACTTACGGAACAAATAAAATACTGCGCATAAAATAATTTTATATTATAATAGGTATGTACGAGTTCAAGTCAATAGTAAATTGACATTGTTCACTTTAAATTTACGAATTGCAACAATTGAATTTAACTAGATAGTCGTATGGACGGCAATAAACCAATTACTAAATAAAATTAACTACCGGGTCCAAGTGACTAGTAGATGCGATAATTGGTAAACCGTTTAAACTTCGAATAGGTAATCTCACATAGAAAATTGCACAAACATTTTTCGAATTGGGTTGTGCCATTATTGCCGGAGTGGTGGTGTCCGGACGGTGGACACGGAAATGTTAAATGTTATCAACCGACACCGCATGTTTTGTCAACGTCACTGATTAATCACACCACGGTATAATTTGAAACTGTGAGTCACTCCAAGGTTAACCACGTTTTTCATTATCAGCAGCTTACAGGCATAGAATATCTGTGTAGAAAATATGATTTTATTTTGGCAAACTATTTTGCATAATTCCGAATGGACAAACGGTAACACTGTGCGTCATCATCTATCGTTATTTTTAGTTTTTAAATAATTCATATTATTGTGATAATATGAATATGATGTAAAAAATGTATTCATTTAAATTTAAATTTCTAATATTTGTATACAAATTCAACTTTATAGTATAAAACTATATTCTATACTCCATAGGTAGCAATTATTTTTATTGAATGCTCTATTGCAGTGAGAAGAGAAAAAATTTAAATTTGCAATTATTCTTATTCTACACATACAGAGTTAAATAAGAAACTCAGAGTAAGCCACGGTCTTAGATTTTTCTATATAATAATTGATAAACAATGAATATTTAAATTATTGTCGCTGCAGACAATTTAATAAGCTGCACGTTCATAACATAAAACGTTCAATGCTTAATATTATACAAGTTGTTTATTCGCATTATTGGAAATCGTAAAAATATAAAAACTAACTAAAAAAATTAAAATTTTAATAAAAATATATTTTCTTTTTTATTCAACTCAATACAAATTATTTCTGTTTTGCAAATTAATACAGTCGAATTCGCTTTTAACGATGCCGTTTACAACGATATTCTCGGTAAAACGATTTCAAGCAATGTATTTGGTTGGTTTTATATCATGTGTTGTTACATTTTATAATCCGGATATAACAAAGTTCGGTTATAATGATCAGATTCTCTTACCTCTTGGTCCCTCGAAGATCGTAATAAGCGAATTTGACTGTATACTAACTAAGGAGAAGTATACCGTATACGAGAAAAAAACATAACGATAATAGGTAGGTATATCTTTAATCATTTATCAATATAATTGTATAAATAATTAATATTTTTTGTATGATCAAAGAATTTTTCAAAATTGAAAATTGTATCTATAGAAATAAATTTTATTATATCTCCAGCTGTTCTTAAGTTAAATTATTTTTTCTCTTTACCGTATAAAAATTATTTTCTCCACAATCATTAATTATGATAGACTGTATGATTTTATAACAGTTTTGTACCTACAATTTATTTGTTTATCAACATTTATATATTAGTGCAGTATCTACATGCCTATATGTTATTAAATATTATAGCATAATAAATAAATTTATTTGTATCATTTCCAATAAAAAGTTGGACATCTGGGTATCGTTCGGTTGTACTTGTACACTATAAGTGACAAATGGATGTGTTAAAAAAAAAACATTCTTAGCAAGAACCAAAGACAATCAATCAGCCTATATCACTAATCACATGATCTATTTTATGATATTGCTAAATAATTTAAATTACTATTAGTAATACAATAGGTTGAATTAATATTTGGCGGAAACATATTGCATTTGAAAATATCATTGTGTATTTGTGTGTATAAAATATTACAATATAACCTATAGAAAAATACCTAATTTTTTGATAGATCACTCTGTTCTTTTTTACATTTAATTAAAATATGAATCAATACATAGGTTAATGTAAAAATAATAACATATTTAATAATGATAAAAATATGTTTATAATGAATAAAATAAATATTTTTGTAATTATTATACATATAATAAATTATTTAATTAATTAATTTTTTCTATTTAAATTAATCAGTTTTAAATATGCAGATACCAGCTGTGTTACATAGCTTTTAATTCGTAACTATTTTATTTTTTATTTTTTTTTTAAGTTACCTATTTAAGCCAGTCAAAACTTATTTTGCCTCTTCTATTGAAAAGTAAAATAACGCCGTTACTGAACTTAAAACATATTGTGATTTGCAGAACATAAATAATTAATGATGACATAGATTTGATAAACTTAATTACGGCTTTTTTTTATTGATAAGTATACATAGGTATAAATTCAAGTATATGATATAGATTATAAGTATACAGATTTAATAAATAAAAAACTCATAAATTATAAATTAAATAAAATGTGTAATATTTGGTCTTTTTTTCTTGGATATTTTTTAGTTCATTTTTTGATTTTGATTTTTTTTCTTCTCTTAGGTACATGTTTAATTGACTATTAGTTCACTAACTGATTCATTAAATGTTTAATGATTTATTCATGCATCCCAGAATTAATAAATGGTATTTTTATTAAGCATGAAAGTCAATAGTATAATTTAGTAACTAAAAAATAGTTTAAGGGCATTCTAAATTTTCGATTGGAGGGAGGGGACTGAGGGGAGTTATACAAATCTTAGTAAATGGTTAATAAAATAACAAATTATTTATAAATACTGTAAAGCAATTAAACGTATATATTTTAAGCACTCATACATAAATTAATAAGATTTGTTAATAACTCTTTATTTATTTTTTATTGTTTTAAGATATTCCCAATTAGTTGCTATCTGAGTCTAATGATGTGTATAGGTATGTACATTTTTCCATTTTTATATAATTAAGATGTAATAATAATAATATAATAATTAATAATGTAATATAATGTATTGGTTATATTAGGATTAAATAAACAGTTTTAACTGAGCATATTTTTCATGTCTCAGGCAGTAGCCGGTGGTGGTTGTCTCACTATTTGGTTGTGGGGTCTATTCCTTTCTTGAGTCGGCGAGATATTGAAGGGCTTAATAGTTAATACATTTAGGTTGTAGTGGATGGCTGATAGCTTCACTTGAGTTTGTAAGTGAACGAAAGAATTGTTATTATCCTATTTTCATAATTAGATTAATAATGCAATATGTACAGAGTTACTTTATGGTATATAAGGTATATCTATTTAATTTTAAAATTTGTTTTTTAATTTCATTTCGTGTTATTAAAAATAATAAATAGTAATTTATATGTAAATTTGTATTTATTGTATTTTACAAGATTGTTTATTTATTTTCTAAATTTTTAATTTTATTCAATATTTGAATATTTTTTCCAATGCCAAACATATCATGGCATAGCGCCTCCCACTACACATAATTTATTTTTCATACGACCCATGACTTAGTCGTAGAAGATATCTTGTCCCCTCCATTAATCTATTCTACCATTAACCACTCAAACCTGTTCGAATTTTAAAGATAAAAGAAATGTTATCTGCTAATTCTACTAGTTATTTATTATTTTTCAGACGTGACATCAGTTCTACTTTAATAGTTACTAGGTTAGCGTTGCAGTATTTGTGACTTGTAAGTTTCCATATGAATTTTAGTCACAATTTCTGTGATTTGTTGATTAATTTAGTTTTTATTTATAAGTATTAACAATTTATATTGACTAATATCTGGCTATAGTTTCTTTTGTTATTTTTTGTTTTTAAATTAGCTACCTAGAGCCAAAACACAGATCAATTATTTATTGACACAGATTATTGTTAGTTTGAGTTTAGTAAAAATATTTTGCCAAAAATGGCTTTATCAAAATATTTATACATACTTTTTGCATTATTAATGTCGTGTATAGCCATTGAAACTTCAAATTTAAAATGTGAAGTGTGTTGTCGTCTTGTTGAGGAAATTCAACGTAATGTTAGTTCTGTGGATCCATCAAACATTGTGCAAGTTTCTAATTTTCGATTGGATGGCAGTGGTAATCAAATAAAACATACTATTCCACTAGCTCGGTCACAATTATATTTAACAGAAGTTATGGATTCTGTGTGTGAAAAGATGAATGATTATGTACGCGCTACATTTAAGAAGAATGGCACGTTGACAGTTATGCCATTGTTACTAGATGGCCAAATGAACCCATTGATGAGTGAGGTGGATGTGGTTCAAGACTCTGATCTGAATAAAAGTTTACAGTATTATTGTGAGGACATTGTTAATGATATTGAAGAAGATCTCATAAGCATAATCAAGTCTGGAAATGATAATCACATTGTTCATTCTATTTGTACTAATGTTATGCAACTGTGTCCAAAAACAGATAATAAAGTAGAATTATAATCAAAAGTTATTATATTTATGTTTTAATTTATAGTATATTAAAGTTAAATGTAGTTTCTACATTTAATAATGTTGATGTGATTTTATGCTAATTTTTATTGTTTTAATAAGTAATACATTTATTGATGTAGGTGCTCATGTTTGATATAGTTGATATAAATGTACATTTTGCCTTTCCTTTTTTATTTCAATATACAGCCTGATCTATTGTTAACTTGGGCATTTTAAAGATGTACCAATTTCATACAATAGTACTTAAGTAGTTACTAGTAAGTGATAAACATATTTATTAATAGTCAGTGTCAAGTGTCAACAAATTTTTTTTTTTTAATACTGATTTATATTGTACCAATTATTATAATAGTATATTTGAATAAAAAATAAACACACGAGGTTCTTGAATAAGTATTTAATTTTATTGTTTAAATGGTGTAAAAAAAATTATTTATTTTGCATGAATATAAAATATTGATGTGTTACTCTTAAAAAATATTTATTAGTATGATAAATTTTGTCAAAACATAATAAAAAACTTGCCTCTACATTTAACATAAATATCTAATAATTTACTTACCAAATGTTTGTACTTAAACATCTTCAGTAACAATTAAATTAATTATTAAAAAAGATGTTATTAATAATTAATGTTCAATCACAAAATTGGTAAAATAATGTTATTTTATGGTATCTGCATAATTCATAGAATTTATTTTAGATATTTAAAGTGACAAAATGTAGAGTTAATTGATATACTAACTGCAATGTTTCAAACCAAAATGATTATTATGTCAATGGTTTTTTTTATTATCACTGTCTAGTTCTGTTGTTTTTAGTTAAAAAAAAAGATTTAAAAAGCTGGTTAATATTTATCCTGTTTTGAAATTATTTAAAACTGCTTATTAAATTAAAATATTAGTTAATTATGTTTTTTTTAAATAAACATTTTTTTATAACCAAGTGTATAGTATATATTTACTATTATTTTGGAGACTAGCCCAATGTGTGACCTATTGACAGTTATACAACTTAAACATGATAAAGAATTGAAGGTAGAACATCTGATCAATTGATAATATTTAAATGTTAAATGCTATTGTTACAAATTAATTTTGTTGATATATATTGTGTATTATATTCTTAAATATCATTCAGTTACCATTACGTGTTTACTTATGGCATTTTTTTATATTTTGTCTGTTTTTTTTTTTTCTAAGCATGTTCATGTTTTGATAATAATACATAATAATTATATTAATAATAATAATAATAATAATAATAATAAATAAATCTACAACAAAAATAAGATCTAAATAGAAAAGTAATTGCAGATGAAGTTCAGTATGTTGAATATTTATAGCGTAAAACTATTTTAACTAAAAATAGCTGAAATATAATTTATTTGAAAAAGAATATTGATAACGATGAACGTTGTAGTCAATTATATGAAACAAAGACTAATAAGTAAGCATTTGAATAAAATTAAAAAAAAACTGTGATTAGTGTAATTTAGGCATACTAAAAAAAAGATGCTAGTCAATTTGTATGAGAAATTTATATTTTACTCATATAGATAACAATAAAAAGTGTTAAAGTAATTAAGCACTAATAGAAATTATACAACTTGCTTGATATTGAGTGTAATATTTAATATCAGCACATAATGTAGTTTTTTAAATGGTAATAGAAGGTATGTCTGCAAATATTTCTTACTAAAGGTTATATAACTGTTTACTATGAATATTATTTATCAATGTACAATTTTTACTATTTAAAGGGTAATTTCATGATTTTATATTAACTTAAGTTGACTAGGTACTGCTGTACTAGTAATACAATTCAAGAAAATGGATAGAGATTGTTTTCAAGTCCAAAAAAATACAAAAATTTATAATAATCATTAATTAATTATTAAAAACTTTTTTTGAAAATTAAAATTAACAATAGTTAAATATTTTGTTTTCATTCTATAAACTATAAAGTAACTAAATGTAGTTATTGTTTTCATTCATTTACCTTCTCCAATAAAATTGGTTCTAACCAGTTTAAAGGTATGACAAACTGTTTACAAATTTACATCAATAATTTTTCTTCTAATTTATTTTTGTTTTACATCATTTTTAAGATTTATAATTAAGCTCATTAAATAAATAACCTATTTAAAAAAAAAAAAAAGTTTGTTTAACTCAACATTCAATTACTAGGATCTTGAAATTCTGATTTTATACTTTGTTGAGATATATAAACAGTTTTATTGGGTGGAGTCTGAAAACAAAAATAGTTAAAAATCAAAAATATGATAAATTGATAATTTATATCAGAGAAATCTAATAATTTACTTGTGTAACAACAGGTCGTTGAGACATGAGAACATATTTTTGAGGATTTCCTGTGTTACTTGTGGTTTGTGCAACAGGTCGACCAACAACTGTTCTAGACTGTGTATCTATATATATTTAATTTAATATTAATAATTAAATATAAAACAAACAAGCATTTATATTTTATTAAAATTCATTTATTTACTTGTTTGTGTTACAGTTTGGTTGCTTGTACTTTGGGTAGTAGTTGTTACACGAGCTTTACATACAGCAGCATGCAATTGTACACCAACAGATCCAAATTCTTTTTTGTATTCTTCTAAATTATCTGGTGGCGAATGTGTTATTTTTAACACTGGAGTCAATATTTTCTGAAGCAATACAAGCTAATTGAATAAATATTTATGAGAAATGTGATTAAATTTAAGTTAAAAAATTACACAAAGTAAGTGTTTAATTTGGTTTCCAGATATTCTATCAACATTATTCTGAGTAACTTCTGGTGAGTCTAGTCTATCAGATATCATGTGTACTCTGGGAATGACAAAGACTTTTATTGTTTCTGTTCCTAACTCTGCTAAACCTGAAATATTTAATTTGGTTAATTATATGTTTAAAACATATGGCTATTTGCATATACCTTCAAGTGCACCATATACTGATGGAAGAGCGGTTTTATCTGAATTAGTAGCATTTGTAAATACTCTAGTTATACGAGTTTGTACATTGTTTGTTGGTGTATTAAACATTTTACAAATTTGTGCCATTAAGCGAGAGGCAAAATCTCTCAAAGCCCAATGATTGTCAATTTCTGGTCTCATGCACAATTGTTTACTTACAACACAAGTAACAACAGAAGGGATAATTTCATGTAGCTAAACCATAATTTTATAATTAAATTATAATAAATTACGTAATAATATAATATGTCATTAAACTTACATATTTTTCTAAATAAAGAGCTGGGTTATCCAATAATGCTTTGACCATTCTCATTAAATAAATTAGCAATGCTAAATTATTTTGAACAACATTTACTTTTACTCCTTCTGCAATAAATGTACACATGCGAGGTAACATTTCGTGAAGGCCAGGGTCAGATGCTAAACTTTGAAGAGCTTCCTGAAAAAATTAATTAGTTCAACTGTATTAAATTTTCCATTATTTTATTATTATTCATTCATAGTGAAACTATTTCAGGTTAATAGAAACAGTAAATTTCTTCGTCCATAATCATCTAAATACTATGTGAAACAGGTTTTATTTTGTGTGTAAAAAATTGAAAAATTTACCAAATTTTTAACAGGTTAACTGCCGGCGCCCATAGTTCATCATTATTGCCATGCCACATGACTGCCAGCGACCATAAATTAATTTACTTTTATATTATTAACTTTTCTATAGCGCTACAATAATGCACCAAAATAAGGATCGTGGCATAGTGGTAATTAATACAATATTTTTGGTATAGGTGCCTATAATACATTTTTTTTTTCAAATATATAATATATACAAATTTGGAAAACATTGAAAAATATGATTGGCGTTTAATAAATACCTATTGAATAACTGCAGGTGATCATATAGCAGTCAATGTGTTAATAATTTTAAGTAATATAATGTAACTTAAGGTAATTATTTATTTAAATAAAAAATATTTGATTTTTTAAAGCCAAAACAAAATTCATATACTACCCATCTTGTAATAGTATATAGGGATTGAAAAAAGAAGCTTCAAGAAATCTACCAATATAAATTTTATTGAAATTGGTCAAGTAATTTACACATAGTGGAGCGTCGATTAACCGCACTACAAAATTATTGAGTACAAATTTATTTTTAGTTTAATTTAATTTAATTTTATCATTTGTTATGTTTTATCGTGTACTATAATGTTATATATAAATATATATATAATGTTATATTATAAAATGCGAGATTATTTATGAATTTTATAATTTATTTATAATAAAAGAAGTTCATCGGAAGTGAAAAAAAAAATTGATTATTATTTCAAATAAATATATTATATTTTTTATATTATGTATGAATATTATATTTAGTATTATATCTAATAAATTAGTTTTTAACTTTATATTAACATTTTCATTGGTTGTTTGATTATCCGCACAAATCGATTATTCGCACCCCCTTCGGTCCCAATTAGTGCGGATAATCGACGCTCCACTGTAATTAGTTGTTAGTAACTTGTATTTGTAACAGTAACATAATTTTGTTCATATGCACAAAATTATTATAACCATACATTATTTGGAAGGAATCAATTACAAGTAAAAACCATTTATCATTGGGAATTTGTTTAAAGCTTCACTTTAGAATTCTGTCATTTATTACACAATAAATTATCTTGGACTGAGAAAAGGAATATACTGTAAAATGAACTATATCATAAAACAAATTTTTATTAAAATACATACAGCCCTTCGAGATTCATCCGATCCAACACAAGCTTCTGTAATTTCCTTATAATAAAGCTGTTGTTCAACTGATAACTCATGCGTTGCTAATTGTTTCACATGAACAGTTTCGACATTACGTAACTTTTGAGCTTTTCTAAACAAAAAAAAAACAGATTTTAATATTTTTTTTTCATATTGGCTAGATAATTTTACCCAGTAGATGGTCGTCCAGAAACTTCTTTATCAATAGGTTTTTTTAATTTGTTTAAAGGATCTACACATTCAAGTTTTTGAACATCTTTGGATACAGAAGGAGGATTTTCTGGTACAGTTGGTTGAACTCCGTCAATAGCAAGCCAGTGGCCTAAAAATTTAATATTAATTAAGTATTAATTTTTAATTCTATGTAATGATACTAACATCGAATGCTGATTTCTAAAGGCAACTTAGCCAAAGGAGCATTAACAAATTCAATAAGATCAATATCTTTATCATCAATGAAATGCAATTCTCGTCCACCACCAGATGCATATCTAAATGGTACATGTTCTTTAGCATGAAATCCATATATAGGCTAAAAGTATAACAATAGTATTTAACAATAATTGTGAATAGGCTAAAGAAATCTTTGTCATTATAATTTCATTTCTAAATTGTCATTTTACATCACTAGTTTTATACATTATATTTATAATTTTAAACTATAGAATCTATAATCAAATATTCTTCCAAGCATTTATTGCTATAATTATATAATTATATACAATTTTAAAGTTTAATAGGATAACTTATGGGTCTACTTTGAATTTTATATTATCTTGGCAGTACATAAAATGAGTGAGGTCAACATGTATTTTGATAAAGCAAGCACAAGAAAATAATACATTTCTGTTGTCTAAGCTTAAGGTTACTAGAATTTAAAATTAAAAAAACATCTGTATATTATGTATCTATAGTCTATCTTAAAACTATGTTAAACCTTTAAAAAATGTCATGTGAAACTTGAGTAATACAACAATAAGTATAGGAAATCTTTATTTGGTAAGGGACAAGTTAATTTTAATATTGGTTTCTTAAAATATATAAGTTAATTACATATTATATTTTTTTTTACTTAATAACTACATTATTGTTCTTTTCAATCATCAAAAGATACAGTATGCATTATCTATTAACTTTAAGTGATAATCAGTTATAATAATATTAAGTAATAATATAGTTATTATTTAAATTTTTTTTATAGTATGAAAAATGGGTAATAAACAGGACATTTTGATGAAAATAATGATATGAATATTTAATTTACTAATTCAATCTTGACAGGTCTCTAGATTCATAGCATTTTAATTGTAAAATATATAATCAAATTCATAGTAAAATAATTATTTAAATATTTACTATTTTATTTATTTAAAATTATGATAATTAATAAATTAATATAACTTACTTCAATACCGAAAACTTTTAAAGCGTTATCAATGTCTGAAGGTAATAATTTGCACCTATTAGAATGCATCATAAACTTTTTGCTTTCCTAAGAACAATAACACATTAATGTTTAAGCTGTATAAAAAATGAGCAGTATATGTAGTAAAGTATATAATATGAGATAGTAAAATTTAACTAGTAAATGGAATAAAATCTCCAGAGAAAAAATAATTTTGTATGAAGAACCTTGGAAAAAAGTTCCTTAAATGAAAATTATGTTTTCTGATATTTTGAGAACTTTAAATGTTATTGACGTGAAAAGTGTAGTGTGTACTTTTCACAATATAAGATAATATATATACTTATTTTAACTGCAATGGGTTCATAAACACAATTTATACATTTATTGACTAATTGAAATATTTTATACATTAAAAGTTTTTCTATGATAAAGTAATAAAATTAATAAAGTAGGCAATTATTTTATTTTATTATTTAATCTTATGTATGAACCTTCCTAAATAACAGATTCTGACTATTCAGATCTCTTTTCACTTCAAAACACCTAAAATTAATTAATACAATTCTAATCTAAAAAACCCTACTTAAACCCATTTGGACATACATGATCTAACTATGGGGCTCAACCAAATTTTCCTATCTAAACTGTATACAAACATTTTAATCTAAATGTATTCGTTAAATCACTAAAGCTTCTTACTATGTAACTAATCTCATATTCCATCAAGATCTTTAGATTCTTCTCATTCAAAAAGTCACCATAACATTGTACAAAAAATTTTATTTCCGCCTGCAAAACCACCCAAACCCCCTTGTCACCGACCTCTTAAAACCTACCATCCCTGGCGATCCTTGTAGACAATTAAAGCGTAACTGATGCCGTGATCTACTAGATAACTAAAATCAACTAGATAAGATGATGAAGTACCACCATAGGTGCCTCTTCATTCCAAACATCTTCAACAACCATATAATAAAAAAAATTATTACATAACTTATGCTTATTGTAAACTGTTTTATAGACTGTATGATAAAAATATCTTATAAAAAAAAAAATCTTTTGTATAACATATAAGTAAAACTTTTAAAAATAATTAGACTTAATTATGTTTTTAACATTGGATAAAAAATAAAAAATCTATTATCTACACTTATATATTTGTAATTAAATATTAAAAATATAAAGCACTGTAAGCATTTAAAACATTTTTATTCTATAACTTTCATATGGCTATAAGTGTAATATTGTATTCTTGGATTTTTATTCTGCAATTCCAATGAACTACTTAGCATAAAAAAAAAGGGTTGATTCAGTTTTATTATTAGGTTGTGATTGATGTATCTACTACTTACATAAATATGAATTTAGTGTTAAAAAAAATAACGTATTTGTTAAGTTTTAAAGATAAATGGATTTATTAAAATAAATATATAATTCAATGCTAGCTGCTAGTTAAGCTCTTATATTATTAAATATCTTTTTAAGTGATCTAAGAAAATATAAGGAGTATAGGTGTAACTTTATATTTTAGCACAAAGATCTTTGATTTTAAAAATATCTTTACCCCTTGAGTGATGATCATAATAGATACATTTAAAATTATTTAAATATGTTCTTACTTGTAATACTAATTTCAGACGATAAGTGGCGGAATCTGATATTTCTTTAGCTGCATCGTCAGATAAATTTCCAATACCCACACTTTCTGCAATTACCTTTAATGATTCAGTAGGTAAAGTAGAACCATAGTTTACTTCAATTTCACCCATTTTGATAATAACAATAATCCAAATGATTATATGTAATCCAACAATATAAAAATTATTATAAATTTACTGCACAAAATGCAGCTATGTAGTAAACTCAAATACTTTATTATATAGTATGTTACACTGTTAAAGTAATAAATAAATTAAAAAATAACTTTATAGTACGTCTACAATGTAATTAATTATTATTTGTGTACGGTACTACTTCCTAGACGTATCATTAACAACTATGATATCAACAGACAACAACACATATTCTGTGTCCATACTTTGCAAGATGCATTATCAATGTATAAAGTTTGATTGTTTGTTTATATCGTTTATTGATAATAATTATTAACAACAAACAATAATCAAGGAATTATTGTTAACGTAAAAAAATCTATAAAAACATAACATTTCTTAATATTAAATAATACCATGAACCAAGAGCTATAAATTAAATTGTAAATAAATCAAACAAATACAAATTTTAAATGGTTTTCTTAATTAAAAATACTACATCAAATAAAAATAAATTTTATTTATTTCTAAATCGCATGGTTAACTACTGGCTACACTGTGTAGTGAATTATATTTTTTACAATAATTAAAGAGATTAACTTTAGCAATAACGTTTCAAGTTTCAACTCAGTTTCAAGTTTCAACTCTACAATGACTACGACTTACAAGTCTTAGCCGACAACTTTACTGTGCTTAGTGTTTAATGTTTATTGCTTATTGATTGTTACATAATAATTAATAGTATAGTAACTATAATATATGTGCCGAACATATTATACGAAATGTTAAATTACTACTATTGATAATATAATATTATTTAATTTAATAATTTGTCTAATTGGTATCGCGTTTTCTTTAGATCATTAGATCTTAAACTACGAATGTACCCCATCCCGATAATTTGAAACATTTATTGATTTATTAGCGACGAGCCTAAACGAGAAATATATTGTATATATGCGCAATCTCAACTGTCACATATTTATTCAATTATAAGCGTAAATGTGCGTCGATTTAACTCGCACATGCGTAGATAGCGCGTCTCATCCAAACGATCGTTGCTTATAAACATTTATTTATACATATTACATGCATTATGCTTCAAATTGTTAACACGGGCGAGGTGGGTAATATTAAACGTTAAATTGTTTTTATCATAGACCTATTAAGATCTTTATAATTCTTATATCTATGGTTTACACGTACAAGATGATTCCATTTACCACTGTCTACACGTTTTTCTATCTATTAAATTTATAACCAAATACAAATTGGATATTGTATTAACTTGAAGAATAAGCACGGAAAACTAGAAAGTAAGTTTACCAATTTGTATTACACAGCTGTTATCTATTATTTATGTCTAGTTTTATTGTATTAAAAATTATCATCAACTTCTGTAATAGTTTCGTTTTGTTATTACAGAGAATATTAATGTTGATTTTAGTTTTGATACCATTATTATATTTATTGTTATGTTATTTATAGTATAATATGTTACTATTTTAACCTGTTTTTCTTTAACCCTTGCTTTGACATAAATTACATAATTTTCCATTAGTCGCATCTTGGTCCTCTCGACTGTTATGATGCAATGTAAATTTAAAATACAAATTAATTTATTATATTAATTATATTTTATTTATGGTTGTAATTTGTATTAATACAAATCAAAACGTTTTTTTAGATAATATTTTCAAAACCCAAAAAAAAATAAATAATCAAATGATAATTATTCAAGATGCCTAGTCATGTTTTACACAGTGGTTTCATATAGGGGGTGGCAAGGTGGGCATTTGGCCCTGTCTAATTTTTAAGACAATCTGATGAGCTAGTGCCCAGTTGTTGCCATTTAACCATTATTGGTGAAAAAAGCATTTATATTTTTATAATTTCTCTTCAGAGTATATTATGTTTTGGGAATAAGACATCATTTTCAAAATGATAAATTGGTTATTAATAATTAATAGTTTAAATAATGGAATAGATTAATGTATAAACACATAAGGACATGTATGTAAGTTTTTTGAAAAAATAGGATTAGTGAATATATTATTTCTAAAAATGAAAACAAGAGATATCTATTTATAGATTCAAAATGTTTCTAGTTATTAGTGAATATTTATTTGGTTGCTTATTTTGTACTAAGTTATCAGATTTTTAATTAAAATAAAATTTGAAGATGACAAGAGACATTTTTTGATAAAAATGTAAGCAGAAACACGCCTGCTAGCATATCAAACAGTTCTTTAAGTTATCTGTTTTGACTTATCAAAACATTTAGTCCCTCTATTGAAAATTGAAAATGCCAAATTGTTATGCTTGAAATATTATGTAAAATTACAAAAATTCTTTTTAAAAATTTAGTAGACAAAATATTAAACAAATATATAAATTAATTAAGGACACAATATTAAATACATTGTTGATAAGTTTAATAAGCAATGATGATTTTAATATGTTTAATTAAATTAAATATAAAGAATTTATAATATTAATAATAAATTGATTTGATTATTTTTTAAATTAAATATTATTACATAGTTTATTATTCTAATAAAAAACAAAATTACCTACCACTTTAAGTTGAGCTTGTGATTGCGTCAGGATAAGCAGTCAATAGTCACATATAAATTCTTCCTACAAAAGTAATTTTTGTTTATAATCAGCAAACTTATATATTATTTTGAATCAATCATATTAATATATATGTTTAAATGCTCAAGTGCACGAGTCTTAAAATACAATCTAATATCTGTACAAGATATCTTAAATTTTCTAGAAACCCTATTTTCATATTCACTTTATGTAAAATTCCTAGGTATTTTGCTTAGTTTCAAATTAACAGATGATTATTTTCAGTGGCACAAATGATTCATTTAATTTCAAATATAAATATTGTAGTAAACTACAATGTAGATACTATATCATCTATCAGTTTAACAAAATTTAAAATAACTTTACATATTATGTAATACTTCTAATGCTCTTTCTCACAATCTAATTATTATTATTTTTTTTTTTTTTTGTCTAAACATTTTAATTTTAATATAGTAATAATAAGAGTTGATATATCATACATATACTAATTGAACTAAACTCATATCTGATATGCAGAGCTAGATTAATATATAGGTGTACACATCTTGGCTTATACCCATCTATATTTTGAAACAATACAATTAACATTAATTTCCATATTAACACTAGAATAAAATATTATCTAATTTAATTTCTTACAATTCATTTAAATGAAAAATAATAAGATCAATAAATTTTTTTTACTACAGTGGTATGATTCTTAAAAATTATAATGAAAATTTATGATTATGAGCTCTGTTGCCACCTATTCCTTTCTAGTTGTTTAAAATTGACAGTACTAAAAACTTAACCAACCTATCAAAATTTTAAATTGGGCTAATACACTTGTCAGCCCCCCCTCTCAAATGATTCCACTGTTATAATTCAAATTTTAATTTCGGTGGTGAAATCAACAGTGATAATTCAACAATTTGTTTGTCAATATTCAAACTAATATGATGTGGTAATAAGTTAATAAGTTTGAGATGTAACTTCCTAACATTTTACAATCTTGTTCTATGAATGTTTTTTATAATTAGTGTAAAATTATGATTTAAATTCTAAAAACTATAAATTAAGGCTACACATTTGATACTAAGAATTTTAAAAATTGATTTATTATGTTTCTAGTGGAACGTGATCCCAATAAAAGAAAAGTCAAACCTCCTGCTAACCCAGAATTGGTACATTTAGATGATATAGATGGTGAAAGTTCATCTGATAGTGATTTTCGTATTGAAGATCATTATATAAATAGTGAATCGGATTCTGATAGAGCTTCATATTTCACATTTACTGATGGTATATTTAAAAATAAAGAAATTGGTTTTATAATGTAACATTTTAAATTCCATGTAAATATTTATACTTTTATATATATTTTAAAAGATGATGGCAATCAAGAAGAAACTGAAAAAGATGATGAAGATGATGTTACATGTAATGATAATAATATAACTGATGTCACAAGTATTGTTACACCCAATCAAGATAATTCTATAAAAGTATAACCTTTGAATAATTTCTATGTAATTAAATTACTATTTAAAATTATATTACTTTTTTTTAGGTAAATTTAAAAGAAATAGTAGATAATATTCATATTTGTAGTATTTGCTTAGGCGATGCTAGTGATGATGTTAATGAATTAATAGATTGTGATGAATGTGGTATATCAGTTCATGAAGGTAAATACTTATTTAATAATAATATAGTTATAATAAATAATAATTAATTTTTAGGTTGTTATGGTGTTCATGACACAGGAAGTGTAAGTTCATCTGTTTCGTCATGTTCCATGGAACCATGGTTTTGTGAAGCTTGTAAAGCAGGCATAGAAAATCCTATTTGTGAATTATGTCCTAATTTTGGTTTGTATATTGTAGATATTCTATAAATTATATGTCTTAATAACTTTTAAATTAATGTATTTGGTTTTAGGTGGAATATTTAAAGAGACAGATTGTGGAAAATGGGTACATTTAGTATGTGCTTTATATGTACCTGGTATAACTTTTGGTGAAGTTACAAGTCTCAGTAAAGTTATGTTATTTGCTAATACTACACCTCGATGGGGTAATAAACGATGCAGTTTGTGTAAAGATATGAGATTTAGTTGCACTGGAGTGACTATTGCGTGTGATGCTGGAATGTGCAGATCTAATTTTCATGTTACTTGGTATGATAAACACATATTACTCTTTAATAAGAAATAAATTATAAGTAATTTTTTTATTTATATTTCATCATGCTGTGACATTTTTCTGTTGCATTAATACAAATTTCCTTCAATTTAACAAGATATGATAATTCTGAGTATTTTTTTTTATCATGCGTCTTTCATTATTTTAAAAACTATTAATGTTTTTGATTATGAGTTCTAGGTATTGCTAGTATAGGTAGTAGAGTGAAGTGTGACAAGCGTAACTCTCAAAATATTGATCTACTACTCTAATTTTGGATACTTATAAACTATTTCCTCAAAATTTGATTTATACACTTAAAAATACATTGAGATCTTACTTTTAAATATGAAATTAATATATGTTATCATAGAGAAAACTAAAAAAAATTGTACTTTATATATCAGGGGTGGTGAATCTTTTTTGGATCGAGTGCCTAATTTTTCCAATCAAGGTGAAAATTTTTTTTGTGCCCAAAGGAAATTATATTTTCTAAGAATAAAAATAAAGTTCCATAATTTTTTATAATTCTAATTTTTTGCGTGTTATTGAAATTTGACATATGTACTTCTAGGACGCATGTTGTAGGTTTGCCATCCTTGTTATACATTAATGATGGTAAAAAGTAGAACTTTTTATTGTTACAATTATGTAAAAGAAATATTTTCAAAAGTCTTAAAAATAATGAGTAAGTTCATTATTAAAGGATCCTAATATAATAATTAAATTAAACTTATTAATGTATATTTATTATTTATTTATAACTTGGTTTAATACTATTTAGTTATTATATTGTCAGGCTTTAGCATTAAATTTTTCTCAATATAAATTTCTTAATTAAATTAACAATTTATCAGCAGTCATGTCTGCCTGAATCCCCCTAGCTATCATTTAAACTATTTGCTTAATTCCTACATCATAATTGAACTATGTCACCATACCTAGTAAATACATATGCATACCACTATAAGACATGTAACATGTCAAACTGTTACAATATGTTTTAATTTTTAACTCAGTTTTAAAATAGAATAATTATGCTGTTATTATAATATGTATTTTTTACCAAATAATCTATAGAAGTGAAATTATTTTTATAAGTATTAAGTATTTAATAATATTAATTAGTGCTCAACAAGAAGGTAGTTTGTCAGAAGCAACAAGTCCAGAAACTGACCAAACAGATCCATTTTATGCTCATTGCAAGTTGCATGTTGACAAACTTGTAGCAAAGTTAGTATATTCATTTTTTAAATAAATCAGTGTTTTACTTTTTTTTTTTAAGTATTTTCATTATTAACAATGTAAAATTATTGATTTGTAATTTCTATTGCCCAATATTATAAACTAGATATATTATTATTTATGTTTTTTTTTTTTTAATTTCCTTAATATATATTTATATTTTTCAGGAAAAGAAAAAGAAATTGGGAAATACTTCAATTAAGAACAAAACAAATGAAATTATTGCGTGAACAACAGTCTTCTGAAAAATCAGCTACATGGCAACGTAATCAGCGAAGGCTTGAAAAATTACGATCTAAGTATTATGAAATGAAAAAAATCAGTATAACAGAGTCAAGTAAGTAATTTAAAGTTATTTATTTATATTCAAGTTAGGTACATGGTTTATTTTTATAGCATCAAAATCAAAAGTTCCTCGTCCCATTACAACATCAGCTTCAGCATGTCGAGCCCTTTGGTTAAAAGCTGGCTTAATGGGTGTAAATATGGCTTCCTGTGAGGCTATTGAAGGACAAATAAAAGCATTGCGTGATGTCCCAAAAAAATGGAATGTACCTACTACATTTAGGTTAGATAAAATTACTCATATTTTTTCTTTGTTGCTATAAATATTTTAATTTATTGTTTTTAGTTTGGAATTTGTAAGTTATTTCATGGATAGAAATTTAAGATTGACAGATTTGAAAAAACAGCTAAAACATTTTACTGATCAAAACAACAAACTTCATGATGAACAAATAATTGTACAAAAAAAATATGATCAAGTAATACAATTATTTAATAACATACATTTATCATGCATATAATTTATTTTGATTATTTTTTTATAGGAGTCCAAAAGTAATGAGATTCAAAAACAAAACCATTTAAAACTTAAAAATATTATTACAGCATACCATACTGTCATTAATCTATGTAATCCTAATGCTAATATTTCAGATGTAGATATACTTACTAGAGAATTTCAAAATGATCATAATTCTTTTAGTAAGTTTAATTTATTTTATTTTGAAACCTACTAATTAATAATTTGTAAACAAGTTCTAAATATCAAGTTATATATATTGTAAAAAAAAAAAAAAATAATTTTTTAATTTGTATCTAGTAACAAATAGTTCAACTCCTTCTACTACTGCTGTTTTAAAAGCAAGTCTTGGAATATCAATCAGAAATAATGATAATTTAGAAATTATAGGTAAACATGTTTGATGTTTTATAATCCATTATGTCATTTATGTGATTTTATGGTATGTAATTAAACTTAAATATTTTGTTTTTCAGATAATGTAGCACCATTAGGTTTGTACAATAAGTGTGGTATTTGTAGTCGTACAAATGATCAACATTTGTTGGCAAAATGTGATACATGTTATTTATACTATCATTTGGGTTGTTTAAACCCACCACTAACTAGAATGCCTAAAAAAACAAAATTATTTGGATGGTAATTACAAGTATTGAATATTTCAGAAAATTTGTATTAAAAAATATGTTATATTTAGGCAATGCAGTGAGTGCGACAATACTAATTCAAACTCTGAGCCAGAAACAGTTGATCCAAATGCTCCTAGAAAATTAAGATATGGTGGAAGAGAGCGATCTATATCAGACAGTCATAGATCTTCATCTATCGTTAATGATGTAAGTATTAAGTATTTTAAAAAATTTAAAGTTTTCTTAATTCAATTAACTATTTACATATTAGTTACAGGATTTTAATAGTCTTACAGAACAGAATAAAATGCCTAGTGTATCAAGTAAGTGTTAAACAAATTTTAAAGTTAAGATTTAATTATTATGGTTTAACCATGTAAGTATATAGTTAGATTAAAATACCTAAATATTATTTAATTTCAGCCTCTTGGTGATTTTTTTAAAGTACTAAATTTGATTTCTATTAATGTTATTGTTTACTCTTTAATATTTTTTAGAGAAGAAAAAACATGAACGGCATAGAGAAAGGTATTCTCCAGAAATAATTACAAAACGAGTAAAGTCCCGCAAACGTAAACATAAGCACCACAGGGATAACAATACTTCAGAATTAGAATCAACTAATGATTATTTAGTTAATGAACCACCCCGACAAGGAATTAAGCTATTTGTACGTTTTGATAACTTATCTCAGAATTATTTTAAAATACTAAATTTACTATTTAGATTAAATCTGTACCAAGTGCTAGTGGAGTTAAAACAACATCTTCACAATTACTTATTGCATCACCAGTAGATGAAATACCTCAAACTTCTTCAAAAACCAAACCAGAAAAGAGTGTTGCACCACTCAGAATAACCACAACATTGACAGATATTAAATTGACTCCTAAGTGTAATACTTGTCAAACAACTGGAACAAGCATGACAATGGTTCAGTAAGTATAAGGGCAGAAATATTTTAGTTATTAATTTATTGATGAAATATGTAAAAGAATAATTTTTTTACTTTATAATTTTCAATTTAGTTGTAATGTTGATTTTACAACATACAATTTTAAGTATATATATTAAATATATATTTTCTCGTTATTAAAAAGATGCTATCAATGTATTAATCTTGGGTTCTACATAATATAAATCATGGGTTATACCTCTCATTCAGTGAAATTAATCTATCAAAAGTTAAAACTATTATTGGTATATATGATAATTTTATTGTGATACAAAAACTTTTACTGGTTGTTACTTTTTTTTAAGTAATTTATTTCTAATAATTATTGAATCATGCATTAAGTATAAAACAGTAACTTATTTTTTCTACTAAAGGGTAAAATTAATTTTAATTGATGCTTTAAATGTTTAAGCGCTATTAGTGTTATGAATTAAAACAGTGTTTCTCAACCGGTGTTCCGCGGCACACAAGTATGCCTCGAACTGGCTATAGGTGTACCGCGACTGTGGTATATGCGTATAGTTTTTATTAATTATTAATTTTTAATTAAATAATATATTAATAAAAAATTATAATAATTAAAATAAAAATGACTTTTTTTTTTGCCATTTATTATTTTATTTGTATAGTGTTTCGTCAAACTATATAGTTTTAAGAAATACTCCGTGAACATAAAAAGGTTGAGAACTACTGAATTATAGTTTAAATAAAAATGTGGGCAAGTAAATACAGCTTTTATTTACCATAGGTGTTAAGTGAGTCACTATAATGGATGTGTAAAATTTGAATTTAATGATATATAATTGTATCCTTAAAATAATTCTGAGAAAAGACGGCTAGTCAGCCTGTATTACTAAATAAATTTCATATGTTTTTTTTTTTTTTTTATAAATTTTCACCAAAGTAATTTATTTTTCTATAATTACTTTGGTACTTTGATTTAATTTTTGCTGAAAACATAGTATTTATTATATTATTAATACTTAATTATTATTATATATATTTATACCATATTATATTATTGTTATTAACTTTTGAGTTAATACTACCTTATTGTAAAACAATATAAATAGGTTTATGCTTTAAATATTTAATACCATGAAATAATTAATTTAAATATTTTGAAAATGTCATTGTGTTAAGTAAAATTCATAATATATGTTTAAGTTTTAAGTCCCCACGAATAAATTTTTTTAATTACAACAAAGTAATTAACATCATTGTTCATTGTTTAAATATTTAATTTTGTTAAATTTAAACTTCAAATGTTTATAAAAATAATTATGCCTGTATATTTTTTTTTTTTATTCATAGTTTTTGAAAAAAAAATAAAAATTGAAAAATAGTTTGAGAAATAGATATAATATGGGTGAATGTGTAATGTTGTAAAAATTTGAACTTCTGTTACTCATAGAAATTAATTTAATTATCCAGTAGAAATTTTTATTAAAACACTTTTAAAGGACCTTCTATAAATTTTTCAAATCTTTGATATGAATATTAAAATTTTTATTCATTTTAAACTACAAAATATTTGCTAATTTTTGCGATTCAATTTAAAAAAAATTGATGGATTACACTAAAATATTTTTAAATTTCTATCAATAACAATTTATGATAATCCTTGTATTACATCTTCAAGTATTTTGTTTAAATAGAAATTTACTTATTGAAAATTAAAAAAAAAGAAAATAGCTTGAAAAGTTTCTACTAGATACTGTTCCCAAAGTTTAAAATCAAAATATTTTTACTAAACAATTTATTTTACCAATTGGTGATGACAGGCATATATCATTGTAAAATCAATAAATTCACCACTTTGATCAAAATCCATAAAAAGTTAAATTATAGTACATCAAATTTTAAATACTTTTACTTTTTTTTATTTCTACAGGTGTGATGAATGCAGTAAAAATTTTCATTTTTGTTGTCTTGATCCCCCAGTGAAAAAATCACCAAAAGTACGAGGGTACTCATGGCACTGTGCTGAATGTGATCCAACGGTACATCAATAATTTCTTTAAGTCTGCCATTAGTCATTATATAAAAATACTATTTGAAAAAAAAAATAATAATAAATTTATGTTTGTCTGATATTCAATGTATACTCTGTTATAAATAAGAATAAACCAGTTAGTTTATGAAAATGGTTTTCGTTTTGATTTCTCCTAAGATAAATTTTCTATAAAAACTGTTAATGACTTAAGAAGCTGCAGCTAATAGTTACCAGTTATTATCTATTGCTCTTAAGTATGACTAACTAAGGTCGATGTCCTTTCTCTAATTATTTGTGAAGTGGTTTATTCTTATTTAAAACAAGTATAAGTCTAGGGCTTGGAACCTCTTGCACATTTCTTAGGATTTCTTAGGATATTATTCAAAATTTAATTTGACATTAACTTATTTTATAATAAATGAAAAAATTAATATTCATTGTTTATTGTGTATTACATATTTTACTAAATCTAAGTAATTTTCTCTATTTAAAGATTTTATGTATAATAATTTTGTTTACAAATCAACAAAAAATTAAATTTTTGTTATTAAAAAAATCAAATTTAAAAATAAAGAACCTTTAAACACCTTTATCTATTTAAAATTGTACCATACCATAGATTTAATAATAAGCTTTTATTAATTTTTATTCAATATTAATATTTTAAATTTAAGTTAAAAATAGTTTAGTTAAATAAAATTAATTTTTTTAATAATAAAAATAATGCATATTTTTACATATTATTAAAATGCTGCTGCTTTAACAGTGACGCAATTTTTGAAGTTAACCATTTAAATATTGTTATATAGAACAAAAATTAATTGCATGGTAATATACCATATATTTAATATTTTCTTATGCACATTAATAATTTTTTTTTTTTATTGCATTATGTTCTAAGCCCTAAATTAATATTAAATGGTTATTTAGTTAGTTATTATTTAAAAAATAATTTTTGGTTTGGCTTCTTGAAATTTATAAATTTAAATTTTTAAGTTGTATTGTTTATCTATTTAATTCAGTGGTGGCGTCTAATAGTTTAAAATGGTAGTGTAATAAAATTTAAGTATATCGCTCAACCTTAGTAAAAAAAAAGAGTAAATTTAAAATTTATATAATATTTTGTTTGTTTACTATTTATGTTATTTATTTAATGGTTAAGTTTTTAGTAGCATTAAATTACAGCTAATGCCTTGTTGGTTCCCTTGACACATGGAACGTGTTGCATGAATTGTGACACAATCCTACCGTCATGGATTTTATTCCAAGTTCTAAAAACAATCTACATTTTTTCAGAGCATATGTTCTCCTTAATATTATTATAAGCATTGTTATAATTATTATGAATTGTTATAATTAAACAACAAACGTTTTTATTAGTATATAATTTTAAAAATTCATCATTTTTGATATTAATTTAAGGAACATGACACATTATTGTCTATAGATACAAGCCGCCACTGATTTAATTTCTTAAAAAGTATAAGATTACAGTTTAAATATTAATTATAAATAAAGCACACATCATTTACGTGTAAGTAATTGTTATGTATGTAGGTATGTAGTGATAGGCAGTGACATATTTCTTTAGGTTTTCCACTTCTCTGAAATAAAAATAAAACAAATAACATTTACTGATATTTCAAACTCTAATATAAAATATATTGAAAATTGAGTTCAAGAGTAATAAATGACTATTTTTTAGAACAACAATTATTGTATATAGTATTTTTTGATACCCTCCCCCCCCCTTTCACAGAAATCTGAAAATGTGTCACTGGTGATGGGAGTATACATATTAACTAATATGTTAAATCTAAGTGTAAATATCACATTTTGCTTAGTTTCTTTTTATTGTACTATAGTAATTATAGAAAAATAGATTTATTATTTGTTTTATATAGTAAAGTTAAATTTTTAATAAAATCTCAGATCTAAATACTAAAAATTCTAAATTTTAATATTAATTTATAATTTTTTTTTTTTTACCTAATCAAATTAAAGTAATATTAATAATAATTGTTTATTCAAATGAATAAAACCAGTAAATTGCTAAGTAATAGAGATAATAGATAAGTTATTTTAATAAATTAATATAGGTTTATAACATAAAAGTTTTCAATATTTATAAGCAAGAATATAAACCAAAATTATTATTATAGATTATTATGATTTAATAATAATATTGTACTGTTTACCTGGTAAATATAAAAAATAAGAATTAGAATATAAATTTAGACATAAATAATTTGCTTAATATTTTTTTTTATATATATTTATATATATATATATATATATAATAAAATAATATTTGATAAATATATTTCAGGACAGTGACTCTTCTTAAAAATATTTGGAAGCACAATCTTCTTCATTGCTATGTATCAATGATCTTCAATGATTATTTGTACTCAGAATGGTTTTAAAAATATTTTTCTATTGTATTTTAAAATTCAATTCTTCATAATGTGTTAATATTATATAAATAACATATTATATCATTATTTTTTTAAATTTAAGATCATTTGAGTTTAGGTAGTACTCATATATTATTAATGTACTACATTATTATGTAATTCAACTTTAAATTTTCCTAATAAAACAAATTACCTAAGTGTGAACTGTGAAGTACTTTTTCTACTTCATAGATTCCAAAAATAATTTAAAGAATACATACATATATCTAGTATTCTAGAATATCCTTATTTTAATAAACTATTAATTTCCTTTAAAAATGTTGTTATATAACTTGCATGTTATTTATAAATTAGCTATATTCCTTTTAATAGTTGAGCCAAGTACTCACTTATGATAACACATTTCAATCACTTAAAATTTTAGGTTGGTGAATGTTAATGCACAAATATATATATAGAATAATTCATACTAATACTAAAATAAGTATCTAGTAGGTATTTACTTAATCACTTATGGGTATTACACTATTACAGTATTACCATATTAATGGTTATTATTTATATAGTTAACTGTATTATAATATATTTAGTATTCAGATTATTTTAAAATTTAAATAGTGCATTTTCTCTAAGTCTGATATTTATATTAATTATAATATATAGATATTAAATTATAGATGAGTTTACTATACTAAATTTGTATTTTTAAAACTACAAAACGTCTAACCTAATTTAAGTCAATTTCATCTTTAATAGAATTATTTAAAAAAAAGTGAAAAGTGGGTAACACCTTAGCTGTGTAGGGCTGTACCTACAGTTGCTGTCAATTGTACTTTGTCATTGAGGAGTAACTGGATTAAGTTGTTATAAAATATATATTAAATTTGAATTCAATAACAAATCATTGCATATGAAAAAGAAGTTATGAGTGGAAATGTTCTGTCAGCAATATTATAAAGTTTATTTCATTTATTAGTAAATATGGTAAATTGAATTAATTTTTGATGAATACATTATGTTTAAAAATGTTATTATGTTTACAAAATATAATAGTTTATGTTATTAAAAGTTTTAAGTACCCAAAAAAGAACATTTTATGAAAAACTTGTATTAAAGTTTCAAGATTTAAGTATTAGAATTAAAATTTTATTTATCTCCAACTACTAAATAATTTTAAAATGTTTATACTTTTAGTGATTCCTTAAATAATTAAAACCATAATATTATGACCACATAGTGTTATAATTAGGTTATTTCTTTTCAACACTACAGTTAATTCATTTTTTTTTTTTTTTTGGTTTAGTGTAATTTATGACCTATGGATAAAAACTTTATGCATACAATTTGTACAAAATATACGTATACATAATATGGAATTTATTGTATTTTAGATAATTACTATTTAAGTATTAGTAATTCAATTTAAAACTTAAAAATACATTTTCATTTGCAGCGTTGTTTTAACCCTTTTACAATAAAAGTTTTTCTGTTTTTTCAAATGTTAACATACCCTTTAAATTTAATATTACTAATTTCATATTCTTTAGCAAAATATATTTTTGAGAATTTGTAGATATACTCGAAACAAATGTTGAATGATTAGTTACTTTTAAAGTATTAAAAGCAGTGAATAATGGATCAACATTTACTGATACTATATCTATATAGAATATAGATTAATATACTTAAGTAGGTTAGGAAAAATGAATAAGGTTTAGTAATTTAATTTTATTATTTGAAATAAAGTTACAATAATTTCTTGTTTTAAGTCATAAAAGTTAAGAATTCCCCTTATAAATGTACAAAATAAATACTATAAGTAGATATTTTTCAAATTTTTCATTTAAATTTTGTGTCATGACATCCCTAGGACTTAGGAGGTGTCACATTTGGTTCGGTTGCAGACTATACAACCGAATGGTTTTGTATACCTAAACCATTTTTAAATAGTTTATGAGTAAAATTAGGTAAAATATTTTTTTTTCATTTTTAAGAATTATCGTTTGAATTATGTTTCTTAATTGAAGAAAAATAAATAGATACCTATTTAAAGAAGTAAAAACTAGAAATTAATAATTTATTATAGTATTTAAATTTCCAAATCCTATGGTGTTAGTTTGGACTCTTCTTTAAATTTCAGTCTGTCGATAATGATTAAAATTTAGAAAAAAAATTCAATTATATATATGTTTGATTTAGAGAAGTCAAAATATATTATATTTGTATAATATTAAATTATTTATTGTATTTATGCCTTATGGTAACAAACTTGTAGTTTAAATAACAAAATAATAGGATGTAGGTTAACATTCATATTTTTATAAGTTTTTATTTTTGTTTCTTCCATGGTTTTGAGAAAAGTACCTCAATCACTTAATACTTTATTTATATTGGCTAATCTGATTTTTATCAAATTTTAATTTTTATCAAAAAGCATTTTGAAATATGTTCACACGTGATTATGTGAATAACAATGTTGTGAATTGATTAGAATTATAAATTATAAGCTTAGCTATAGTTGTCCCCGTGGTTTTAACTGTTTTAAGTGTTTAAGTTTAAACATATTAATATTTCATAGCAATAGCTAATACAGTAATACAAATGTCACATCATCTGTGATTACATAGGGCTTACATTTACAATATAATTAAATTGAAATTATGATTTTTGAAGGCTGTAGTAATTTTCGTACAAGAATAATTTTATCACTTTTAAGTGGTAAACCAGTTAAAATACGAAATATTCGATCACAAGAAAATGAACCTGGATTAAAAGGTAAAAATACATTCTTTTTGAAACATGAAATTTCTTAAATTAATAACTGTATTCACAATTATAGAGTTTGAAGTAAATTTCTTACGTTTGGTCGACAAATTAACTAATGGTACTAATTTGGATGTCAATGAGACTGGTACTGATTTGTACTTTCAACCTGGTTTACTTATTGGTGGTGTAATAGATCATGAATGTTGTAAATTACGAGGTATAGGTTATTATTTGGAATTAATTGTCATGATTGCACCTTATTGTAAAAAAGGAATACAAGCTACACTTAAAGGAGTCACTAACAATCAAGTAAATTATAAAATCTGAATGTATATTAAATTAAAAATACAAACGTTTACAATTTTTTTAAAGAAAGATCCATCAGTTGATGCTTTTAAAGCTGGAGCACTAACAATTTTACAAAGAATATTGTTATTGGCTACTGATGCTAGTATGGAAATTAAAAAACGTGGTATGGAACCAGATGGCGGAGGTGAAATATATTTTTCCTGTGAACCTGTTAAATATACTAAAGCATTACAAGTAAGACTGATTATTATTTATCTCATGTTTATAATAGAGATTTATTTTTTAAATTTAGTTGACAGATTTTGGGAAAATAAAAAAAATTAGAGGAACATTTTTTTCATTAAGGGTATCACCATCAATTTCTAATCGGATGGTAGAAAAAGCTAAATCTGTCATGCTTAAATTTATTCCTGATGTATATTTTACTGTGGATCATCCTAAAGGAAAGTTATGTGGGAGATCTCCTGGTTTTGGTGCAAATATTGTTGCATCAACAACTAATGGAATTATATTAACTGCTGACAGTGTGTCACTGCCATTTACTGGTCAAAGAACCACAGCAGAAGAAGTAGCAGAAAATGTAGCATCAGCTATGCTTGAAGAGATTTGGCGTGGAGGTTGTGTAGACTCTTCTTTCCAATCCATTGTACTTCTTTACATGGCTCTGAGACAAAAAGATGTATCTCATGTTGTATTAGGACCATTATCACCTTACACGTAAATATAATTATTTAGTAAAATAAAATATAAAAACTAATAATATTAACCAATAAAATTAATTAATTTTATGAAAATATTTTAGGATTCAATTTTTAAGGCATTTGAAAGAATTTTTCGGGATATCATTTAAATTAGAACCATATATTGATTCTCAAAATGAAGATTTAAGTCAAGGCTGTGATTCAAAAATATTAGTAACTGGAGTTGGAATTGGTTACAATAAACTTGTATAAGATAATAATAAAGCACTTTTTTTGTAGAAAAATTTATTTCATTTAAATTTAATATCAAATTTTAATAAAAGAGTGTCAACATTGTTAGAAATTTGTAAAAGTCTTATATGCTTACAATATTTTGATATTATTTTATTTAACAAAGAATTGGGTGTCCTTAAGTTATTTTATGAATTTAAATTTATTTATAAGTAGATTTACTAGTATAAAAACATAATCTTATATTTATATGAGCACTATATAAAACTTATATGTTTAAAGCAGTTTAATACTCATTAATTAGTATATTTACAACATGGAGGTAATAATATATCTGGTGCATACAATAGATAAGGTTTGTAACTTTTATAAGGATTAGGTAAATTAGGTTATTAGATTTATTCATAGAATTCTATACTATTTGTTTAGCATAAAAGTTGGTGGGTATGTTTAGTGGTGTAAGAGTATGACAATTATATTCCATCCTTCCCCATCAGAGAAGAATTTATAATTAAAGTACATAATTGTTCATTGAAAACTGAATAAATTTCAACAATGTTGTATTATTTTTGGTGAACTTTTTTAAATAAAATTATATTCAGGTATCAGGTAATGTTCAACTGCCTTCTCTCTTATAAATTATAATTATATCTTTTTATTCTAATCATAGTTTGATGCAAACAATATTGTAAATTAATTTTTAACTGTTTTCATTTGGTATACTTATCAAAGACAATTCATAGATGACTAACAACACTTATGTGACTAATGGCTATGTATTATAACTTTTAACTTTGAATTTATTACACAAATTATTATTTAATGTTTCACATATTAGTCCAGCTTTTAGAACAACCTTATTTATCTGACTGGCTTTTGACTATTTTACTGGTTGGGTATCCTCCATGATAGAGAAGGACTTTGTCACTTGTCAAATGAGCAATAGTTTGGTTTATCAATAATATAATAAATGATATTGATGTTAACAATGAATATATACAATGATAAATTATTCAATTCATTATTTTTATATAGGTAACGATATGTGTATTTTATAAGATTTGTAGCAATTAATACAAATTATGTCGTAACATAATGTAAAAAGTTATTATTAAAAGTATTGAATATTTATTTTAAAAATATAAGATAATTTAAGTAATTCTTATGTGACATTAAACTTGCATAAATTTATTTTATTACTTAGTCTACTTCACGGCCTTAGATGTCTACTTTGTTGTTTTTCAATTTTGACGGTGACCGTCGAAATTAACGCTAGATAATATATAATTTTCTTATCTCTTGTCTTCCTAATTATCAGTGTACTAAATCGTCAGTTCGTCTATCATAGATAAGTATGTACTGTATTTTATTTTCATCATTTAATAAAGTAATAAGTATTTAGTATAGTTTTCTTAAATAGGGTTTACTTTACGTTTCACATCAAACGAGTTAATAAAGTAAGAGTGATGTTTAAATTATTTTCATCAGTTCCCATGCACTCGAGTGTATTGGTCGGTATAAGAAGCTTATCAACATCCGGAGGACCATTACTCTTTCGTTCATCTGTACCTATGTTTGCTGAGCCATTGAAAAAAAAGAAACGTTTGGATCCACAGATATTAAAAGCTAGAGAGGATAGAAAACGTAAAAAGATTGAAAAATCAATTAGAAAATTGGAAAAGGTGCAGTAAATTTAATGTTTAGATTTTAAGTATCTATAAAATATGCTAAAACATTTTAAAGTATAATTTAAATATAAATGTCTAGGTACTTATATTTTTTTTGATAGTAAGTATGTATTTTTAATGTTAGATGATAAAAGTAGTTTAAAAAATACTCGTTAGTGTTGACCCAGCCCACCAACTGCTCCATATCTCTGGTCGCTATTATTTGTCATTTCAAACTCTCACCAACTAATCTTATGAGCTTAATTTTCACAAAGCTAATTATGAGGTATTAAATGATTATTTATGTACATTTGACTAAAGTTATTTGTTAAATGATACTTTAAAATTTTTCATGATTATCTTTAATTTTTATTTGACACTTACAATGCCATCAAAATCCATTTTCCTAAATTTTCAAGTTAGATGTCACCTTTTTCCAAATGGTTAAACAATTTGAATATGTTCAAAGAAGATTTTTAAGATATATTGGCTACAAACTTCAACGTATTATTGGTGACCTTTCTCCATCCTTATCTATACCTCTATCTTTGATTCGAAAGCACCTCTACTTGGAATGTCTGGACAAAAGACAACAATGCAATAATATTTACTTCATATCCAAACTTATTAACAGAACTATATTTTCTTCTGAGCTTCTGGATCTAGTATAGTTTCATGACCCTCAATACTTGTCTCATTCCTGTTGTATCTTCTCTATTGAACACTACCAAACGTCATTTGGTTTTAATAACCTAATCGATCGAATGTAACAGATTGGAAAACTTTGACATGTTCAATTTAAAAAGCTTGTCATCCCTAAAATTATAAATCATAAATTTATGAACCTATATTTTATATGTATTTTTTACATGTACCATATTATTTATTTGCAAATGTTAATACCTAATTAAGTAATTTAATATTAATATGCTTTTTATCTACTTTAATACATACCAATTAAATAATTTATGTATTTTTATATTATACTCGAGTCTTTACAGGCATTTAAACAAACAAATATACAATTTATAGCTTTGTGTAAATTGAGTTTTTAATATTGCCATGTTTTTATGCTTTAATAATGAGAACTATATTAAAGAATATTTCAATCAGAAATATTGTGTATACTATATCAGATTACCCATTTTCTCTTTGCAAAATATATTTTATGTAGGTACATACTTTTTATAGAAAGTAAATAAAAAATTTATTTTGATTGTCATTAATTCATTTGTTTGTTCTATAGGTATACAATTTATTTTAACGTCATAGTTGTATATTTTATCTTGTGTAAATTATTATAATAATAACTATATGAACTTGATTGTTTGAGCATAGAACAAAACACAATATTATGCTATTGGTCTGTGTACTTTGATTATACATTATTATAAGATGTATAACTAAACAATTTTATTAGTTGACTATTAGACTTATAAGAATTTTATGTGTTATTTCTATGAATATTAACAATTGCATTCTATGTATTTCAAGGTATCCAAAACATTGAAACCTATTGATGAGATACAATTAATGGCTTCATTATCCAATGAACGCGACAGTCGTCAAAGACCAACTATAGTTCATAGTAATGATAAGCTTGAGGAACGAATAGTTGCAGCAAAAGCCTGGTCAATGTATAAACACGATGAACACTTTTTTAATCTCCAAGTTATCAATGACCTAGAGTATTCACAACAACGTGCATTGAATGAGTTACGTGAAGTTTCTGAAGATTTATATCTTGCAGCCGTTGATATTGATGAATCCTTATTGACATATCAACTAACTGGACCAGTAGAAACTCCTCCAATTGATAACTACCAAAGTCCTGATGGAGAATACATTGATATTTCTAAAAAATGGGATTAAAATTAATGTAGTTTAAAACCATATGTGAAAGATTTGAATATCTAAATAAATGATTAAATTCTGTAATAATTGAGATGTATTTATGCATTTTGAAAAAAATGGATCATTTCACTATTTTAATTTATTAATCCCAATTCCCAAGTTAATTATAATTATCATACAATTTTTTTTACTAAAATGTATTTATAATGTAAAAACATTTATAATCAACACTTTATTACAAAAAATATTACAAATAAATTCTGAATTGAGAAATACAGTTATAAAATGTCAAAATAATTTATTTTCTAAATGTTTGATCGTTGTTAGTTTTATTTTAATAAAAATGCATTATAAAATCTACAATTTTAGTTTAAAATTTTAATCATACAATTTGGTTGTTGTTTTATAATATAAATATATATATATGTATGTATTTATGTACTTGTATTATTAAAATTAACTTAGCAAAATAGAAAATTTAATGTAATATTACAATGTTATAAATAGTTAAATACTTTTTTAATATATTTATAGGAACAAAGTGTTAAATACTTGAAATAAAAAAAAAAGAAGAAAATTTATAATTTATAATAATTATAATATAATAAATATTCCAAAATATTATGATGCACGATATTGTGAATGATGAGTTATAAAGGTATTATATACAATTTCAACTATATAAAATAATAGTAAACAATACTTTAAAGTTTAAACTATCATGAATAACTGATTTTTTTTAAATATTTAGGCTTGTACAAATAAAATGAATTATTTAGATCAGCGTTTCTCAACCTATGGTACGCGTATCACTAGTGGTACGCAGGAAGCTCAAAGGTGGTACTTGAATGAAAAATAAATATTTATCATAAAATAAAACAATATTATATACATAAACTATTATTTCGTTTATTTGATTACTAAACCAAATAGTCGGTTTTATTCACGTTAAAGATAGAAATTTAGATAAACAATAATCTCTATAATGTTGTAATGCTTGGTTGATTTATGTTTTAATAAATTGTACATGCTTAATTTTACTTTTGTTTAATAAATTTTAATATTCTATAAATTTTTTTTTAGACAAAATGAAAAAATAGTTTTCTAAATTAAATGGTATGTGAAAATTTTCAAGATGTGTAGGTGGTACTCCGGTACTCGGAAGTTAAAAGGTTGAGAATCGCTGATCTAGATTACTATTATATCTTACTTGGAAAAACAAACCCATATAATAAAAATAAAAGTTATTTGAGAATATAACCAATTTTAATTAGTTTATATATTGATTATCGATAGTATTGCTTTAATGACAGATGCTGCAGCTAAGGAAGCATAAGGTTGCCATTTGTTTTTTACTGATCCATCTTTATAGTCTGAAATGCCTCTAACAATAGCATAGGAATGACAATAGTTTCCCATTAGGGATCCCATAACTGAGTCAAATTCTGAATCCATAGCCAGTAATTTATATTCGGTAGTGAATTTTTGTCTTGTAAACGCATTAGATGTAACACTTAGACCACCGCCAATAGGACCAACATGTACTCTTAAACCTCTAAAATAATAAATAACAGTTGGAAATTAAAAAATAACTTAAAATTAATTATTATCAAACATACAAATTATTGTCCTTATCGTTGCAAATGGGATGAGTTATCTCAATCAATTCTGTTTTACCGATATACATTTGAAGTTTATCGGAATCTGCTGGTGGTCGTTTAAAGTCAGATTCATTATCGGTTTTTTGTTTTTCTATCTTATTCAAAGCTTCGCTTAAATATACATCCCATAAAGGCTTTTTATCAATTGATTTTACCTATTAAATATACTTTTGTACATGTGAAACTAAATTCAATTTAGGTAATTCCATTTTTCTTACTTCTGTCTGTAATTTCATTGCAGCTATTTGTATATCAAATATTTTTGGACTATATTGATGACAATGGAATTTCATGTTTCCATTTTCATTTGAGACATTCTTACAGTATGTATATACAGCTCTAATAAATAATAACAATTTTAGTTTAATATTTATGTGCAATCGCAATGTAATATTATTTTATTACTTTTGGTTGTTTCCATAATGAGAAACAACTACATCTCCTAATTTTACATGCTTGTCATAATTTGTATAATGTGGTACACCACCACCAGCACCACAAACAAAAACATGTTCAACTTTTTGAAATGTTCCTAAAAATATTTTCATTGAATGAGAACAAAGTGTTAAGATAGAAACAAAAATAATAACCTAATAAGCGAGTTATTGCATTTCCGGCTGCTATTGTAGCTTCTCTGCTTAATCCAAGTGCAGGAAGTTTGGTACAAACTACACTATGGTTTCCCATTTTTCCTATTGTATAAACATTTGATTCTCCTGAAAAAGTAAGAACATTTTAACTTTTTAATAGTGAAGAGCCATTTTTTACTTCATACATTGAATATTACTTTTATTGTAAAAACATAATATAATATATTGAAGCAATTAAATTAATTAATTAATAAAAAGCTTTTATAATTAAAAAGTATATTAAATTATCAACAGTTTTTTTTTTTTATTGAATACTTAAAATATTTTTAATTTTTTTATCATGTTAGACAGTTTAAATATACCTTAAAAAATAAACTTTAAAAAAATCTTTTAATTTAATAAAATATAAAACACATAATATATATCCAAATTGTCCAAATTAAAATAGTTATTACCTCATTAGTAATTAGGTACTATGGGTACCAAATTATTTTATATTTAGTTAATTCGTTCAAAACTTCTTTGTTATTTTCAGTTTTCCTATAAATGTTCAGCCGAATAAATCTATTTAAACGGTTTTCTATCATAGTTTTTTTTTTTTAAATTTTTTTCTATCAAGATAAGGGTTTAGATCATTGCAATGACGAAAACGTCCTTTCTGCAATAGCTGTTATTATTAAGATTTTTAAGAATTTAATGTTTATAGACATTTGGATAGTCATCATCATTATAATTATTTAGTAATAATTCTAATAGATTGGTTGGCATTTTTGACAAATTATGCAGAGAAATTTTGCGAAAATCTAAGTTCTGCACTTACTACTAAATGAGAAAAAGATGATAACATATTAATATTTGTGAAAAAAAAAAATCTTTCTGAATATTTTTGTATTAAATATATTTGTAGTTTTCAAAAGTATCTGAAAATCTAGAATAGGTATCTTTCTCTTTCTTCTTTCTTAATTAAAACTCTTCAATAATGTTTTATATTTTAGCACGTATTATTGATAGGTATAAAATATAAATAAATTAAAACAGTATTTCATTAACTTTACATAACGTGCTTGTGTTAAATGAATGCTAAGCTCAATACCTAAAATAAATTTTAAATATAGTGTTATTGGGATCAGTCAAAAAGAAGACCAATTTAAAATCGTCATAATATGACTCGATTTTAATGAATAACGAAGTCGTGGGAAATCTGAATATGTTCAACGTAAAAATGATCAAATATAATTATATAGGTACCTACCTAAGTATGTATTTAATATTTATGCATAATGCATGCGAGCGTAGTGTGTGAATAATAAATTTATACAAAGTGAGTATGATTTCCTAGTCAAAATTCTGAATAAAAACTGTGTTTCATAAAAAATATCATAAGTTACATCATGAGTCCATTGGTGAGGGGGGTTCTGACGCTGTAACCCCTCCATAGATACGCCACTGATCATAGTTACAGCGAATACTAATAATATCTATAATATCTAAATTTTAAGCTAGTTTTATAGTGAGTATAATACTGTTTAGTACCTAAAAATAACTATTTAGAAAGTAGGTAAATCACAGTAAGTTTTAGTTTACATTACAATACATATTATTAGGTACCTAGTACCTACATACGTTTTTTTAAATATATATTTATAAATAGCTATGTATGCTTTTATTTTCTGCAAACTTATGGGCGTGGCTTGTGATATTTTGGTATTGTATACCAGAATACTGACTTATAAACAGTTTAACCTTGTATTTATCAAACACTGGAAATTAACACACATTCATAATGATAATTTATTGTTAAACCTTGATTTTACCTTTAGTAGTACTTATCTAAGCTTTCATTAGTATAATTTCCATAGTGACTTGATAAAAAATAGGTACATTTAAAAAAAAAATAAATTATTATTTTGTGTTCTTACCAACAGTGGTGTATCGTACAAAAGTTTCTTTGTTTTCGATCAACATATCAACGGCTACTTTTTCACAATACTCCGCTGTGATAATAGCCACAGTTGGTTGCCGATTATTTTGAATAATAGGAATTTGTTCAACAATCTTAAATAATAAGTGATCATTTTATAAAGTATTCCAAAATAATATTAAAAATTAAGTTATTATATGAGAGTTATTGTACTTTGTCATGAAGGACAACTCTCGTGTAACCACCATCAACAGGCTTAACAATTCCAGACTGTTGTAGTTTCTCTAAATTGTCCTTAATGTCTGAGTTCTTCCATCCGTATTTCCTTGACAAAAATAAGAATTACAGAATCTATAGTTGAATAATGAATAGTAACAATATAATAGGTAAGTAAAAAATAAGTTTTACTTGTTAATATCGTCAATAGTTAGTGGGTTAGGATATGAAGATTCGATCAATTCACGTAATTTAGTGAGTGATATATCCAAATTTAATTTTGAACCTTCAACAGAAACTATGAAAACATTTATAGGTTGACTTGTTAATAGAAATCAATGAATTATTATTACTTAAAAGAAGAAAATTGTACCTTGATTTACAGGTTTTACTGATGTTTTTTCCAGCTGTTTTAACTCAATTTCAATTTTTGATACACATTTATAGCCTTTGTGCATTAAAGTTAATAATTTTTTTACAAAACCAACATAATCTATAAATACAAAAACAAAATTTAAGTATCTATGTGAAATATTTTTTTTTGTACTCTTAGATTATTAATAGTAATAATAAAAAAAGCACCAAGAGGAAATTGATCAGGTAATATTAAGTCTTGAAAGAATTGAGACGCCACTGTTGAGGCATCCACCGTTTTATCTCCATTACACCAAAATTTTATGGTACGTCTTTCTTTGGTGTGTAGACCCGTTTGACCATTTACTAGAAACACGCAGAACTGGACCGATGTATCTGCGGGTGTTTCGTCTTGAATATCTACTGTGACATACTATAGTTATATATTTTTTAATTTTCTACATAAATATATATATTTATATGTATATTTACCGTATTTTCTAATTTTGCTGATCACGATGCCGCTGTGTTCTCCGCCAGCTAGATATTCATTCTTTTCATTGTGCTCATTGTTGTTATCTGCTTGGCGTTCAACTACAAGTACTGTTGATGTGAGTGTTTTAGATTTAGTTATTAAAACCACTCTATCTAATATAAAACAAAAATATATTTTTTCATTTAAAAAATAATCATTTTGCATAATATATTATAATAATATATAATTATTTTTATTATAGTTGTATATGCAATGTTTAGAGTAGTTTTCGTGTAAAAGTACTTACTTATAAACGGTTTTGATTTAAAAGATGATTTTAAAAAGCCATTTTTTTACTTATCAGGAAAAAAAAAGTTGTTTAAATGGGTAAAATTATATTAAATTTATTATGATTATTTTTAATAATATTGACTTTAATAGTCTAAAAACTTTAAACTCCAACGATTTTATTTTATTTTTACATAGATATAATAATCATAATAATATAATATTTTTGAATAAAATATTACATTATTATTATTTTATATTAGTTAAATTAAACAATAAATTCTCATAAATAATTGTCGTTGTGTAATAAATTAATAATTACCTAATATTTAAAATTAATTAAGTCTCGCGATTGGACCGATGGATGGTTTGTTTTAAACTATATATATATCAAGTTATATAATTACATTGTTACGCTGTAAATATCTATGTTTATTATCAGGGTTGTGAATTAAATGTATTTGATTTTTTTGCTATACCGTATAAGAAGATAAATCTGAGAAAAATTTGCTTTGTTTTATTTATAGTTAAAATACAAAATTTTATTTTTCTCATATTCTTGAGTTAGAACATGTAAATGCATGTTTTCATGATATTTTCATATTAATGATTTTTTGCTAAATATTTTTATTATCAGTCATTTAAATGACTTTTAATAATTAATTCCAACATTATTTTTAATGGAGATGTTTTTTGGAAATTTAAGTGCATAAATATATACTTAATACTTTTTTAGTGCATTAAATCCACAGTCCTGCTTACTATAAATATTATGTGTATAATGTATAAATTGTATACATATATTAAAATTTTAAAATTGTGTTTTTTAATAATAAAAATATTTTAAATGATTTTTTAAATTTTTTCCTCCAAGTAAGTTTATTATACTCTCTATACTTTATTCAGGGTGAGAACGTATGGTCGCCCGATGAAAATCGATTATTTTTGCATATTTCTTACTCGACACCCTGTCAACAAAACCGGTTGGATGTCACGTGGAATACGTAAGATCCGTGCGTTTTCTCAATAAACTGAGTACCTATCTATTATCTTATCATTGCAATGCATTGTTGGAATTTGACTATCAAAATTTATATTAAAAAATAATTGAATAGGAATTTATATTTTAGGTGTATGTATATGTAATTATCATTAGGTATAAAAGATAAATTCTTTATGAAATTGTAGTTTTCTGCACTTTTTAATAATGTAATAACAAAAATCAAATTTCAAATTGTGATACAATTGGAAAAGAAATTTTTTTTTTAATGCATAATATTGTATGCTCAAATATATCGAATAAACAATTGAAAAAAATTTTTCAATTACATTTTAGTATTGAGAACATATTAATTTATTAATTTAGATAATAAAATGCATTTTTGAATCTTTTATTAGTATTGCTTTTTTAATTCTTATTCAGCTTGTTAAGTTGTTGAAATTATTACGTTAATAATTATTTTAATTTTTTTAATTCAAATAATATAATATAAAAATAGATAGAAAATATTTAAAAGTAATTTTATGCCGATATATACATAATATACATAGTATTAATGAATAATGATACGAAATAGAATTCTATAACTACCTAAATGGTAAAAATACTATCATACTAAATATGTTTTTATTATAGGTAATAGGTACATACTTCACTATGCAGAATGCTAATGCGTTAAAGAAGTAAAAATAGTAAGTATTTTAGAGGTTATTCATAATAACAATATACTATAAGTACCTATATGTAGAATTAATTATTTTAATGTTTAACTCAAAATAATTGTCATCTTTTTCAATAAGTAATAAATTAATACTATAATATAGGTAAACAACGATATTGAGTATTAGTATTATACTATTACAATAATGGTATAAGTATATATATATTATATAATGTTAGAATAAAGTAACTTACCTTGATTAGTCATTATGTTTAATATATATTTGAAACTGATGTCATTTCTGAAAAAAAAAGTTTTAAGTATACATTAGATTTATTTATGAATCACGTGTTTACTAAAATAGTATAAAAGTTATTTTAGTATTTATTATAAAAGTGAATAAAAATAATAATAGTAAGTATAAATAAACCTAAACATTGTTTTTTATATTTCTATAATGACAAATTTCGTTTAAAATATTATCAAAATAGTATTAATTTTATTTCTGTTAGTTTTTAACAATATAATTTATATATCTCACCTTTTTAAGCGAGGCATATATATTTTATAGTTAAAATTAATAATCATTTTTTTTATCATTAATCCTATTTTATTTATTCTTAAGTAGAAATGATGTTGAAATGAACAATATGAAAATGAGCATTATATCATCGATGTTATAATATTCTTGTTAAAAACGTCATATTAAGGGGTTGACTTTAATTTGATCAAATATTTTGGTACCTGGTACCATATGGGTACGAGTTATATACGTATGATTTACTTGCATTTGTACTTATAAAATAGGCGAATAATATTGATATTTCTATAAATTTATAGTATAGATATAGGTACCTAAGTTAATGTTTATTATATCCTACCTCACGCAACAATAAGTCTGTAACTTATATCTATCTATAAAAATAAACCGTATAACACACACATATATTTATATATAATATGTACATATAGGTACTCACATTTATAGTATAAAGCTAGTAGCCCATAGGCAATAATCTGACTGTAAAACGACGACCAATATAGCAGTGTATTGTTTTCTTTCAGTACAGTCGACTGCTGAGTTAAACGATCAACTGTATAGTGACACACATTTATCAACGTAGTAATACAGGATTCATTGCTTCCGACACTGTTACGAATCAATTGCAAAGCGACTGTGTCACGGTTATATTATTACATATATATATACATTGGTGGGAGCAGGCAGTATTTTTCGTCAATGACTAGAGGATATGATAATGTATTATAAGAAAAGGAGGGAATGAAAAACATTGTATAATAAATAAAAATAACAAGAATATTATATGTTTACAGACGTACAGTTATCAGTGACACAAGTGTATTAACCATTACGAATGGAAGGGGTTATCTAGAGCATAGCATGCATGAACGTTATAATGCAGGCGTACAGCGTTAGAATTCTCTGCGTATATTGAAATATATAATTTTAACACATTTTAATTTTGTTTAGATCACTGTTCATTAATTATTAAAAAAAAAAAAAATCAAATTCATTACTTAAAAAAGAAAAATACCATATGTATATGCATTTTATTTAAAAAATATGTGTACGAGTGTGATATACATTTTATAAGTTAAAACTGTGGGATGTCGTCAATCTAAAATAATTGGTAAAATATATAATTTCACAAATGCAGTGACGCCTGAAAAACAAACGTAAAAGAAAGATGCAACATAACACCATGTTTTATGTATTTATTTATATTATAATAAAATTATGATAACACGGCGTTTTAGATATGCTATTTAAATACATCACAATTAAAGGCTTTTTTTTTGGTATTTTGTAAGTTAATAATTCAGTTATTTGATTAAAACTTAGCGTATTTTGTTACATATTAATCAATGGTTTCAACAAAAAAACGATATAAATATTAAGTGTTTCATTTGGGGAAATGAGTGAATAGTAAATACTACGAATGATGGCAGAATGTAATTTTATAGGTAACTGTTAATTTTAATTATTTTATGATCAATTAATAGAACTAACATTTGAAATTAAAAGTGACCTATAGGCCATTAGTTTCAAATTTATTATTAAAATTATTTAAAATTGAGACAAACTTATTAAAATAATTCTAATTTTTCGTTGTTTATGAGTTAAATGTTTTGTAAAAATTCATAATAGTAAATATTTGTACTCATATATTTTATGGAGATATTTATTAAATACTATTATAGAATAAATAATAATAATAGATAAAATCTAAAATAAATGTTAATTTTATTTTAATTAATGAATAATCATTGTTATAACCAGGGATTGGAAAGTCACAATTTTTATAATTTATTCGATTTCCGTTCCAGTTTCTAATTAGGTTCTTAAAAAAAAAAAAAAGTCGGCACTAGTTTTCAAAACTTGAGAATTCTCTTTAGAGTTTTGTTCCCGATAAATATTGATATTTAGAAGTGTATTTTTCTTATACAAAGTAAAAATTTCAAATTAGTACAAACTTTATATTTAAAATGATAAGATCAAATAATAGTCGTATTAATTGGGTCAAAGAAACTATCCAAGTTACCTAAATTATATTATTTTGGCTTTAAATTTACCTAAATCAATAATAATTAATGATTATGCAAATATAATACATATATTATTTTTAAAGATACTTAATACTTTATCAATACAGCCTTTTAAATACTAACTAAATGTTTTTATCATAATAATATGTAAAATATATAAAAATTGTAGATAATGATTTAGTTAAGCAACCCATTGTTTCAGTAAATACACACACAACACAAAAACTGTTATATCAACAATCAACTATAATATTATATTACCGTATTATTAGTAGTGTTTTATTATATATGCTATTATATTTTTATATAAAATTACTCATAAATTATTAAGCACATTTATGTAATATGTGTGGGTTTATAAAAATGTATAAAATGTATTAATTTTAATCCATATCACAATATAATCACAATTTATACGTGTGGGGCAGTAGAAATGATTCAATTTTCAACTTTTATATTGGTTTTGGATAAAAAATTTGATTTAATTTGTTCTTTAGAAAAGTAATAATTCACAGTATTTTTTGAAAAATTTTAGAAAAATGAATATAAATTTAAGGAAAAGGGGAGTTTTACGTAAAACCAGTTTACGGTAAGTTGGTAAATGATTTCTTTATTTTTTTATAACTTAAAAATAAATAATTATAGAATTTTTAAATAGTCGTCAAATGTTTATTTTATCATTTTCGAAATATGGTCTAATCTTTTAAAATATTTTGACTTTTTTTTTGAGTTATTAATAGTGACATGGGTTTTTTTTAGGTCTTGATAAAAACAATATGAATAAGTAAAAATGCTTGAAAATTTAATTTAGATTCTTAATAAGCTATTAATTTCCTATTTACGAAAATATCAACAATACATAGTCAAAATATTTTTATAAGTATTTAAAATTAGAAGTTTTTATATGTGTATTAAAGGAAAATTTTTTGCAAAAATTTAAATAAATATTTTATAACTATTTATTGAAATTTAATATTCACCCGTATAATAACTAGGTATTCGTTCTCAAATAATTTTTGTTTTTTGTTGCAATTAAAAAACGAATAAATTCGAATACTTGAAATTTTCACAAAATGTTTTTACTATTATTTTTTGCACATAGTATAATTTTCAAATAATTTTGATCTTTTAAGCTATTTATAAATATGAGAAATTTTAAATATTTTTAAATGTTTTCTTTCCAAACCTTGATTAAAAATTATTTGCTAAATCATAATTCTTGACAATTGAATATGATATTCTACAAGTTGTTTTGGTATCTGTATACAAATTATAGAAGTACGTAGGTGTATTTTTTTTATATAGGTACATTTGGAATTATAATTTCGTCAAAATTTCAAAAATTACAAATTATTTTTCAGTTAGAATTTTATATAAAAACTTAATACATTATATTTAAATTTTGAAAATATGTATAATAAAAGATTTCACGTAAGTAAAAGAGTAGAACATACTAAAATCATAAAGTCTAAAAAATATGAACAGAAAATTATTTTTTATGTTAATTTTTACTTCAAATTTGGACAAAATTATTTATTCAATGAATAAAAAATTATGTTAATTATTTAGTTATAATTTTAAAAAAATATTTGTGGGAATTTTAAATTTTTACGTACATTATAAATTTTACTATATGTAATGACGTTTTTCATTTATTTAAGTTATTTTATATTTTTTTATTGTTTTACTGTATTTATAGAAACATCCAATTAAATTTTTAGATAAATAACTTGATATAGTATGGTAAAAATATACATTATTATAATAATAAAATAAATATAATATTTTCGGAAAAGTTATATCAACCTACCGTAGTATTAAAAATAAAATAAATTACTTTAATGAGCTAAAAAAACATACTATGAAATATAATTTGTGATATAAGTTGACAGATCATCTCTGTTTTAAGTCGGTTTTTATTTACAATGATATAGTATTAATTCAAATTTACTATCTGAGTGTGGCTGCTGGGTAACACGTCTCTGTGTAATATAGTTCATATTATTTTTTTCGTACATAGATGTGCTTATTGTAAACATCATTACAGATTATATATAATCCAATAAATATTTAAAAAAAAAATGAATACACTCAAAATATAGTGATCCATTCAACAGCTAATGTATAGTAAAGCGGTAACCACTGGTTACCTTGTTTTTTTTTTTATAACTGCTCATATTTTATCATTTTCTGGAACTGAAACTTATGTAGATCATAAAAAAAAAAAAAAAATATATTAATCGGTTTAATATACAATGTCATATACTCATATATCTATTACAATATCAACTAAATTTAAAGAAATTATTATTATTATGTACAAACATAAAATCGCTAAATTAAATTAGAACCATAAAAAGGATGTTTTTTTTTTTAATATGTTTATTTATTATATTATATTGATCACACTTTTTTTTCATCATTTGCAATGGTTATTGAATAAAATAATTTAACACTAAACATATTTATGGAAATATAATGTCATGTTTTGTGACATAATAACATTATAACAATGATGACGACGTGATGGTTAAAAAATTAAAATTCCTTTTCAAAAATTTAACAGTATTTGTCACAGGCTGAACAATATTCTCCAAAGCTACTATAAAAGTATATTATATACAGGGGGATCCGTTTGATATTTAATATAAGATAGTTAAATTGAGTATTATATGATAATAGTGTATTTTATGTTAAATGATTCACTCTGTATAATGCGTACATAGAATAATGATAAAAGTTAATATTGACACATTATATTCCGTCCAGAGTCTAGATACGCCTATATGGTTACACAGTACATATTTATTTATATACGGACGTTTATTCCGTAAATGTTATGAATACAATATATATCGCCAAGTAACTAAAAGAATACTCACGATATAATACAAAGTGTTCCATAAAGAATGTTCTGGTTTCAAAATGATATATTTACTAAAATATTATACTTGCAAAATTGAAGTAGATACCAATCAAAACTTTAGGTTAATAAGTTTTTATACATTCTAAATTTACAAATATACAAATTAGTTCCCCACCAATGGTTAAGGATTTATAATGGTTATTAAACAAATTTTGTTCAAATTCTGGGCTCTGTTTACCATATCTATAGGTGTAATTAAACTGACGGATCTTTAAATTCCTTCTATCAGTTATTAAAATATCAATAGTTGTTGGAAAAGGTGGAAAACTATAGTCTCCCCTGCTTCACTAGATTACTAATTAGTCATGCTATGGGGTTATGATTTTTTGATATCCAAATAATTTTTATGGAACATTCTGTATAATGGTATATACTCGTAGAATTACAATGATCCGGTTTATCTCGTTTGACGAGCGTGATATATAGTGTGAGAGTGTTTGAGAGGGAGTAAGGATGTTGGTGCAAAGGTGACTGAAAATATAATATGCCAACGATCAAAGCGTAGGTATGAATGCACAATATGTATTCATGCTGAGGACACCTGACGCACGCTATGATTATACATTGCAAATTACGTGCTTGTTTCTTTTAAGTTTACATTGTACCAAAACTTTTTAAATTTAAATATATTATTAAATTAGGTATATTAAATACGTGTGCGTATTGGAAAGTTTTTTTAGTTTCGCCCGTTACGGATGAGTGTACGTATTGTTTGCATCGTCGGACTGTATACGATTAAATCAATTGCAGTCTTTAATATATAACTTGATGGTGCATTACTTTAATATATTATCATAATATGCTGAAGACTGTCGTACAGCAGGATCAGTCAAACTGATATACTATGCAGTGGAAATCTAAGGGTTGGAAGAAAACGACGAAATGTTAAGTTTAAACAAAAAGGGAACTAATATACACAATATATTGTAATATATTTATATACAACACGTCTCGTTGTCTGGCAAGCTGACTGTAGCACGTGTGGACACGACGCCATAGAACACGCGTGGACTGTCGATAGCGCGTTGTGTGATCGCTTATGATAATTTACCACACACATTAAACACGGTTGAAATGGTAAGTAATTGAACGGGTTAAATATTTTTAAGTACAAGTATATCTATAAATCTCTTTTAGGTAATTATAGCATACATATTAGGTTGTTAGTTATTACTTGTTAGGTATTGAAACGTTATTATAGGTTATTGGAAAATACAGTTGAATTAAGTGAAATCTGCATATAATTTTAGGTATTAAATCATATTATAGGTAATTGGTAAGTGTATACGAAAAATTCGAAATTGTACAAAAATGTTATAAAAATAAAAAATATAATAAGAAACTCAAAATGAAAATGTTGAATTAATGGATTTCGTTAATATAACGTGTATATCATCATCACGGATAGGTACTATGTACTTACAGTCTATTTAAAACTATTTTTTTTTCTATAAATTATGCCTGTATCTATATTATTGTTGTTGTTGTTGTTGTTGTTGTTGATGTGTTATTTGATTTTTTAAAATAATGTAATATATATACGGCCTTGACCCGAAAACTTGCAGGCTCGAATGTATTTCGCAACACCCATTGACTGTTACGTTTAAAATATGAAATTATTATTTAAATATATTAAGTAAAATGTAATTATTGTAAAAAACATGAAAACTATACCTAATTTTTAAGATAAAAGAAAGAAATTCATTCTATTTAAACATATTTTTCTTTTGAAATATTATAATAATATTCTTCTAATATTCTTTAAAAACTGTAGTTAAATATGCAAAAAATATGTTTTACAGTAATATATTCTCCTAAATTCAAAATATGGTTTAATGTTTAAAAAAAATACAATGTAATTGATACATAAAGTTCATTAATTATGATACAATTCTATATGTTAACTAAAATATTAATTTTTTTATTTATTTAAATAAACAATTATAGGGAGGTACCTTATAATTTAGCCTTAAAAAAATGTTAACTTAACATTTTATTTACTCATTCCATATTGTTATTCCATTTATAGTTATCTCAATAATAATGAACTAAAAACTTATTTAATATTATTAATAATTTTTGTCTCTACAACACAAAATATCCAAATTCTATAAAATTAATTGATATATTCTCTTATGTATTTTTTTTATACGAAATATTATCTTATCTAAAAATATTCTTAAATATGTAAAAAAAACTTTTGCCATTGAATTATATGACTCATAATTTTTATGGATTTTAAACCGAAAGTTGACTGCATAGACTCAAAAAAAAAAAAAATATGCAAAAGAATATTATTTCGATCTCTAGTTATAAGCTAAACTTTAGTATTGCACTTAAGTTTACACGTCTAATAAAACATATTTTTCAAATCAATTATTTTAATTATATTTTTATTTTTTAAGCCTGAAACTATATAAACTTAAAATTATACTTTCATTAATATCAAGTATAGTTTGAATATTTTCGACAATCATATCAAGTTAGATTAAATTAATTTGATGTAATATATTGTGTAGGTAAATCGAACGAATTAAAAACACACTTAGATCATTGAATAAAATAAAATACCTATGCAATCAACAATGCTGCTGTGGTTTAGGATGACGATAATTAGTGGTTATTAGGTTTATTATAAGAGATACCTGTCAATATTATCAATATCATCGTAATTATGCTATAAAGTCTTATAATATAATCTTAAAATATATTACTTCAAATGTTCGAACACTTGATCAATGATCTATAGTACACAAAACATTTTTTACACAAGACCGCATTTGGCTAGTTTACATTAGAAAATATGACCTTCGGACAGATTATTTGATCTTTTACCCACTCCTAGGTTATACTTAATTACTTAATATAGTACTGTGTATTACTTTAATTAAAAATAATCAAAAATATGAATTGCCTATAGTTTTATAGATAAAAAAATATACAAAATATTATTTGAAATATAAATAAGTAAACCACCGATAATCAATTAAATGTATATTTACACGTTTTGACAGGTATGTATCTTTAGATATGAAAATTGATAAATAAATCAACGAGTATATTTTGAAATAGTGTAAATAGCATTAGAAAATCTAAATTGATTATGACTTATATTTTATGATTTTTTTTTTTTTTTATTTTTATTTCTATGAATTTGATCGAAATTTTAATTTCAAAAAATAAAAATGTATTAGTTGGTTAACTGAGATCTAAAATGTTTAACTGATATTCAAAGTTTAGAATGTTTATATTTTAATAAAAAAGCTTTTTTTGTATAATGTTAAAAAAGAATAAAGTAGAAAATTTAATATAAAGAGAACGATAATCATTATACTTATTTAATTACCGATGTATTCAAAATTTAAGTGTCTGATTTTGAAAAAAGGTTTTATGTTAATGTGGTTACTAGTTATGTATAATATCTATATAATTATAGGAATGTAAGTAATAGTATATACTGCGAATGTGAAAATTATGAACTAAGAAAAATGTACTTTATTATAGTAATATAGTAGTTAGGTAGTAGTTGTGATAACTGGCAATATTTACTCTGATTAATACTATTATAACATTCAACAATTTAAAATATACATACAATTTTTCTATAGTAAAAATGTATGTATAATAAATATATCCATAATTATTAAAGGGTAAGAAATATTTTAATTGTAATTATGTTTAAGAAATTACTTATTAGACGTATATTTAGGTAGGAATTAATAAGATTACAAGATAATTAAATCAAAAGTTCACGGCACTTATTTTTAAACAAACCATTATCTATTTAAAATAAATTAATTTAAAAATTAAGATATATATTAATACTTATACATCATGTACAATATATAATGTTGCGATATAAATATATTGTACTTTTGGTTGTTATTTTAAAAATAAAATATGTATTTTTAGTTTTGTTTTATAGTTATTACTAAGGCTAAGGACTCTATGTCCTAAAAAAACCTTGAAATATGTTATTAAACTATGCATTAAAAATAAAAATAAAAATCATAGTATAAATTATTTATTATTATTTTTCTTTTCTGATAAGTTATTTTTAAATCAGGCTTGTGATGTACCAATAAGTAACATTGTAACAATGTAAGTAATCGCCGAGAAAAAACACAAACATTAATTTTAAAATATTTATTTTTATAAATAAAACCATAATAATAATATCTTAGGTCCAGAAAATCTATTTACAATTAAGTTTTTCCTTATGAAATTATAAAACATACATCTTTATATGAATAATTGTCAAATATGCATTTATTAATGAAAAATAGATAAATACCTATGCAAAATAAGTACCTATAAATTTTAAATATACACTAATATTCCTATGAAACAAATTCATATTTTACTTAGTTATGTTTTTAATGATTATTAAAAAACAATCAAACTCCTAGAAGTCTCTAGCCCTAGTTATTACCTACTTAATTATTATTAGGTAGGTACTACTATTATTGATCATCAAATGATGTATAAAAATTTAAATACTATCAGAAGTCAGAATTCTTGTGTTTAAGAGTATAATTTGTCAATAAAATAATAGTTAATTATAATAAAGCATCTTTTTAGTTTCGTTTATGATATAATTATCCATGTTAATCGTCGTTTTACTTGTGCGTAAAACGTAATAGTATACCTATAATACTGAGAAAATTATTTAATTACGATAGATTAATATAAACTAGATAACATATCATTATACAATTATATATGTAAAAACAAATAACAATAATTGTATTAATTAATATTTATTTAAATAAGCGTTTAAAATGGTAGGTCCAATTCACATTTTATCAACATGGAAGAAACCCAATGATAACACCTTTTTTAATTTAATAGGTCTTTACACCATTTACGTATATTTAAACCTAAAAATAAAATGAAATTTTGGAAGCACTATTGTTTTGTAGAAGTGTAATTTTTCAGTTTGTCGTTAACAAAGTTCGTACCAAAGTTAATCAACGTCAACAATATTATTTTATGTGTTAAAATAAATTATGTCTAAACACTAATATTATGCACAGGTAAAAAATGATTGGTACCCCAGGTTCAATTATCGCTTAGTGCCCCAAATACATTGTTTTATACTTTTCTATGATCCTGTATCAATACGCAGAGTGATTTTATAAGTACCTATCTATGCACGTTCAACTTATAATATTTATGCTTTAGGTATTAAAATTTTGAGTTTTCGAATTTTAAATATATTTTAAGTCTATAGAGATTATTTTTTAGGAAATTTAAGTATTTGTTAATCACAAGACTATTTTATCAAGGTTTTATTTGAATTTTAAAAAACTTAATAAGTACTACATAACATAATTTACATTATGTTCAGTTACATAAATGGTATAGTTGTAGAGGCGAGGAGCCTGTGAATAATGTACTTACATTATTATATTGGTGACGTCATGATAATCTTACAGAATATTCAGGAAATGACTCACGTGACGGGTTTTGTCGGATGGAAAGTGTTAACTGGTAAGCTCGAAATTATATTATGTACATATAAACTACAAGTTAATTTGTCGAAATTTTATCGCACTACACAACATTGCATTCATGATTAGCGAACGGTGGCCCGAAAACAGTTTGATCAAGAATCCTTGAGTTAGAGTGTACGACAAATGGTAATAAATGAAAAAAATAATCGGTTGGTGTTCACTAAACGTTTGAGATCTCAAAAATTGGTCATAAATCATTTAAAGGATGTTATCACAGTGGTCACCTTTACCGAGCGGGCTTTACTGCGGCATAAAATAAACAACCATGGTCAACGTTATAGTTAGTTTTGGAAAAATGCGTAGTTACCACTCAACCGTTTTTTTCTAATTTCTATACGTATATAATATACTGATGTTTGATTACTCCAGTTTTTATATCATGTTATACAAGCGTAGTTATTCAAGATTGTCGATTACATATTATTGCGAATACTGTGTTTCTGTGGAGTGCGATAAACTTTAATGGAAGAAGTCGTAACTGGATTCGCAAGCTTAATTATATATTTTGTGGTTGACGAAATGCTTGGCTAGTTTCCTGATAATTATGAAAATAAAATACAAGCTGAGGCAGATGCGTCTAGAATGTTTTAAAATTATTATTTAGTGTAAGTAACTGTTTAAATATTAAATATGTGTTCACAGTACACCTAATGTTTTAATAAAATTGTAAAATTCTAGTTAAACCATGATAAAATAGTTACGTAATATCATAGTTATGATTAGAAAAATTATGGTAATTAAGCGGATTTCGCTTTACTGTAAATTAGGTATGATATAGGTTATTCTTATGGATTTGTACAACTTGAATTCAATAATATATCATTGTAAGCGAAAAACGATTTGATGGGAGATGATCTATAAAATTAAATTTCTAAGTATATTTCAAGATATGTGTTTTGATATAACTATTAAACTCATTTATTTTGCTTTAAGTATTATGGTAAATTGGTAAGTTAATTAAATTGTTTTCCAAAACATTGCATTTATTAAATTATCAGTATTTGATTAGTATAACAATATATATATTTTATACTAATGATATTATTATTATTAAATTTTAAGTTAATACTACCTTACTATAAATGCTGTAAAATAATTTAAATGGGTTCATATTATTAATATAAAATATATTAAAATTAATCTACATATTTAAAAAATGTCAGTAGCTGAATTACTCGTCGTTGCCGGGTTACAGTAAAAAAATAAGATTATGAACAAGATTAAGAATATGAACAATGAATATACTCATAGTTATAATAATACGACAATAATATTTAGGAAAAACATAAAATGGAAATTAATTTAAGTTCTTAAACTTTATAAATATACGCATAATATATTCATACGAAAAAAACTGCAAATATTTCACTCAACACAAACAAATTTTCAGTTAAATGAAAATTTTAATGTATTTGTGTATTATTATTATAGGATTTCGTTAAAGACTATATTCATTGTATCTTTTTTTGTTTTTTGGTATCACTTGTATTTTTAATTTTTCAAAAGATCTAACTCTGGACATGGTTACATAAAGTTGGTCATGACTAAATACAGGTTGGGGTAAATATAACCCTACTTTATCCAAATTTTGTCTCTGTATTTTGTTTATAGTCATAACAAAAACAATTCTTATTGGAAATTGACGCCTAGTAAGTGAAAAGAGAATATTTGAATAGACCATATTTATTATGGGTTTTGTCGACGACGATAGCACAGCAGTAGATGGTAGTATAGTTATCCCTGTGGAAGGTCATGATTATATACGTCACGCCAGCCCCCTTTTTAAAAATATGGAAATTATATTATTCTGTCATTTAATACGTCATTTTTACGAATTTGTACGCAGTAGCACTGAATTTATACGACTAAAGGGGTTAAGATATATCAAAAGGAGTACAGTCAATTGGTCGTATGCATTTGGTCGTGGTAAAATTAGTCATATGAAATTGGTCGTTTGGTAAATAGGTCATTTGAAAAATTGGTCGATTTCAAAATAATATGTGTATTATATAAAAATAATATTTTGTCGTAATTTTTCTTAAAAGAATATGTAATAATATGTGTGAAAATATAAGTTATAAAAAATAATATATGTAAAAACTAAAAAGTAGTATTATAACTTATAAGTTTTGAGCTATCCCTGATGATATATATTCATTAATTAATGTTCTATAATTAAATGTTTTACATATTGTATTTATCTTCTCAGCGGTGTCATTATATTTCTTCCGTTTTTTAGGGATTTTTGCTTCGGTACAATATTGAACCATTTTCAGACGGTTTAGCCTAACAGTTTAATTATGTACACACTTTTATTCAACTTATTATCGCAAAGCGTATAATAATGACTATTGTCCATTTGTATCTGTAAATAACGTTCTTATAATATTCATGTTTTACGACGAAAATACACTCCAACAAATTTATCAAACAACTAATTTACCAAACGACCAATTTTATACAACTAATTGACGTAAACTCATATCCAAAACTCTTCAGGGGGTTGGCGTGACGTCACACCAGCCCTCCACTTAAGAATATGAAATTTTTTTACCAATTTTTCACACTCTAATTGCACGTTTTTGTACATGCAATATTAATATTTGTTTGCTAATAGTTTTGCGAGAATCACAAAATACCTTTCGAATAAGAGGGAGGGGTGACAAAAAACTAAATTTAAAGCCTATCAAAAAAGCTAAAGGTATTATCATACGATCGGATATATATGATATAATAATATAAATAATGATGTAAACATCCTATGACATATATTTTTATCTATGGCTCATATATACACTCTCTGGCAAATATAGTTTTGCATCCATAAGAAATATATACACTATTTGGCATAAACTCTATGCGAAATAAATAAATTCATTGGCATATATATTTGCACTCATAGGAGCAGACTGTATATTTACACTCTATGGCATATAAACACTCATTAGCATATATATATACTTATGGGAAGTATATACATTTTTTGGGAAATAGATTAACATCCATGGTTATAAATATATACACTATTTGGGAAATATATGAGCTCTTTGGGATATATATATATATTAACTCTGAGAAATAAAAAAGTTCTTTAAGATATATATAAATATAAACTCTTTGAGAATTATATAAGCTCTTTGACATATATATTTATATATCATATAAATTTGATTTTATGACTATATTATATTTAGTTTCTTTGGTGAGCTTTTAGTTTGTTTTTATATCGTCCCTGCCTTTCTCCAAAAAGTATGTCGTAATCCTCACAAAACTAATAGTGTACAAATTTTCATATTGCGCATACAAATACGTACAAATTGAGCGCAAAAGATTTGCAAAAAAAAAATTTCATATTTTTCACATGAAGGGGAGCTGGTGTGAAGTCACGCCAACCCACTGAAAGGTTTTTGATATAACGTAGCCGCATTGATCATACAAATTCTGGGCCACTGTGTACAAATGACGTACTAAATGATAGAATAATAAAATTTCCATATTTTTAAAAAGGGGGTCTGGTATGACTTACGTGTCATGATTGTATGCGACGACGACCGGACGACGCGATAGTACTGCAGACTGCATTTGACGTAGGAATAGTGAGGTTGTAAAGATGTGTGTGTAAAGTTACGGCAAACAACGCGCGTCGCTACGCAAATACACGGAAAACTAAATATTTCCAAAAACAACTTAATTAATAAATTTCGGAATTTTTTCATTAGATGGCTAATCTGCATACCAACCACTTTCGTTTACAAAAAAAAAAAAAAATCATGAAAATCGGTCCAGTAGAACTTTAGATTATGACTTGACGAAAAATCGTCTTCCGTTTTAATAATAAATATACATATATATATATAAATATAAATAAGGCATGTGTAAAATTCATAATAATTTCAATAAGGAAACACCTTATATTAGATATAGGACTTAGGAGGAGAGGAGGAGGAACAAAATTGTTGGCAGACGAGCCGGAAATAGGATAAGCGTAGATTTAGGATTTGACAGATGGGTGTGTTTATAATTTAATTTTTTTTTTTTGGTTTTTTTTTTTTATTTCAATTTATGTATGGTAATATTTTGTTTGTCAGTAAAAATTATTTGACAATTTAACACAAAATTTCTCGAAAGTTCTTTTAACGCTTTAAAGGATTATCAATATAATAATATATATAGTTACAACTATCTTAAATATAAGCGTTTAAAATTTAAATTTTTATGAAGTTCGAATAGATTACGAAAATGAGTTAAATTAATTTGGCATTTATGAAATGTTTAACTTGAAAACTTAATACAAAATTTTTTAAAGAATTTTACTGAAATTAAAAAAAAAAAAAAGTTAATCCATGCATAAATGTTTTATAAATTATTAAATTTAAAATTTGACGACATTAGATATTCAAATAAATCAAACGTTTAGTAATGATTATTGATTACCACCATTCTCACAGTCTTATAGTTATGCGCTGATTAGAGTACAATCATACTGAACCTATGGCTATTGTTACCTTCAGGCATTAATAATATAACAATGCGACAACTATATTATGATATTAATAAATTGTATTTTATATGCAACTGTTAAAACGATATCCATTCGATACTTCGATGTCCTCGTTTGATTTCATGCCGTCGAAAGTCGGTCGACGGTCAGTGTTAATTTAATTAATACAATAATTAATCCCCACGTCTAATTTCTTGAAAGGTGCATCATACTTTGCAACGAGTTATTTATACTTTTTTGTGAGTTACTACTTAGTAGGTAGTACTTACTAGACAACTCAATACTTGTAAATATAAAATATTATAAGCTCATATAAATAATAATTTCTCAACAATTGTTTGATATTTGCAATTTGCTTGTTTTTTAGTTAACTATAATTACTACTAATAAATTATATAACTGCCAAAAATTGCTATGTTACAGGCTACGCTACTGAAAAAATTAATGTCAATCGTGGCAATAATGATGATAACTGGATCGAAAGGTAAAAAAAAAAAATAGTAAATAACTAACACATAATAACTAATAACTATATACATACGCAATTTTAACATAAACATGCAAAAATATTTTACACGTTTTAAAAATATAATAATAATTTATAATTTATAAAAAATGAATTGTAATTAATTCTAATATTTGTTAATATTTTCATTGAGTATTATTATAATAAGATTTAATAAAAAGGCAAATACACATCAATAAAATTATTAATAAATCACTTTTTAAACTAAAATAAAAATATCAAAGACTTTATTATTATATGTTATCTGCAGTAATGCAGTATTTAATGTTTTAAGGGATTTAAGTATTGATATTCAAAATATGTTCAAATATTATAAATACATACTTTAAATATATTATCCTTCAAAAAGCCCATATTTGAGTTAATATAATTCACTAATTGATAAAATAAATAGTTCAGTAAAATTTATTTCAAATAAACTTTTTTAATTTTATTTGAATACTACTTCAATACCTCAAATACCTCCATAAAAAAATATTTTTTATAGCACTAGTGATATAAAAAAACATATAAACATATAACATTATACTAGTGTATAATGTTGGAGAGGAAAAAATAAATATAACATTTTATTAAAGGATTATGTTTGAAAATCTATTCAAGCCTCGAGGTTAAGATTTTTATGGGGGAGGGAGTTAGTAGTTTTAATTTTAAACTCGTGAGTGCTATTTAAACTCTCCCTTAGTCTAATTATTAATTATCCTAAACCTTTATGACTTTTTTAATATACGTAAATCTTTTTAGTAACATATTATTTATTAATAATTAATGTACAGTGATAGCTGCGGACGATTGTTGGCCCAAAAAATTCGCTTACGGTATGGTGTGCGTGTGCAACTCGACATACTGCGATCGAATACCGGAACCGGAAATATTATCTGTCGGCAAATATGCGTTGTACACGTCTTCAAATATTGGAATTCGAATGCGCAGAAGCGTTGGGTCTTTTGTCCCATCGCTCGACTCGCAATGGTCCGGCGATGAGATAGACGTGGATGTGACGACCACGTACCAAACAATACACGGTTTCGGCGGTGCTTTCACAGACTCTGTGGGCATTAATGTCATGGCGCTAAGCCCGAACTCCCGACTTAATCTTCTTAAGTAAGCTGTATATTATAAGTGAAATGTGTTAAAATAATACGATAAATATATATATACGGGTATGTTTAAACTACGGGATAATGTCCTATACTTTACTTAGTATTTTTAGGCAACTACTCTTTAAAATACTATTTCGTACTGATGGGGTATCATATTGCCTGTGATTAAATACCTTTCCCGTAATGAATTGGAAATTTTTATTTTTTTTTAACAAATTGTCATTTTATCTTGTTACCAACTTTAAAAAGGTATAATGTTTGGGAAATTTTTACATTTAATGCGTACATTACTTACTAACTTTTATAATGTAAAAGTTATAAGTATCTAATAATTACCTAATATGAAGCTATATTGTAAGAATTACGAAAACATACTATTAATCAAGATTCTTGGCCCTTGGGGGTCGGCTTACTTTGCAGACGGCATTGAGAATTATTCTGAAAGACGATCAACGCATTTAATGCAGTGTCTGGAGAGATATAGCGATCCAACGAAACCTAGAACACAATTATTTAACATTTCGCAGTCTCGCAGATGATTTTCCGCCAATATTATTCTTGACTATGTAACAAAAGTTTGAATATTTAATACAATACTTTCAATCGTACAATTCAAAATCGAATAACCACAAAAACTTGAAATTTTCACTTAGTGTTTATAATTTTTTAAACATGGCATAATTTACAAAATATTTTGACTTTCTTGAGCTATTTATAGACATGAGCAATTTTTAATTTTAATTTTTTTTCATAAATATTGATAAAACATTATTTGTTGTGACAACAGTTTTTAATATAAATATATGTTGTTTTTGCATGGATAATAATACTTAAAATATACAGCTACATTTAATTTTTATATGCCTTTGAAGTATACATTTTATAAAATTCGTTAAAATGACTATAATTTTCAAACTACTAGTATCTTGAACTTAACAATTTATAAATCTTTAATTTTTATAGCTGAGGTATGAAAACTTAGTACGATTTTTTTCTTAAGTAGCAATTCATACTGAAAATAAAAGTCCAATAAATATACAAACGTAAGGTTAGGTTTTCAGTTCAAATTTGGATAAAATTATGTATTTAATGGTGAATAATGATGTTAATAATTTTTTATAATTCAAATACATTATTCATGGATACTTAAAACTTTTATGCATATTATGAATTTTACTTTATAAATAACATTTTCAAAATATTTTGATTTATTTTAAGATATTATCGTAGATCAATTTTTCCTGTCTTACTGTTTTTATAGAAAGATATTATTAATTCAAAAATTAATAACAGTAATATAGTATAAATATTATGTATTATTTTATAATCATTAAATACTTATAATAAAATAAAATAATTGTTTCCTGGAAGATTAAATGAATCCTAATGTAATACTAGATGTAAAATACATTTCTTTTATAGCTATTATATCAAAAAACATAGTATAAACTATAAAGTACAGTTAATAATATAGGCTGATAGACAGTCTCTACTTAGAATCGTTTTTCGTTTATAATGATTCATTATTGAACTGGTATTTAACACATCAACCACTCTAATATACTCAATATCTAATGTACAGTAGAGCAATTCACATTTTTTATTTTTCATTATAAATTCAATATATACTGAATAATTGTATCGTAGTATTCGTACTATATTATTACTGAGAAAATAATAAACAAAATTTGTCCTAAAATATATTAGTAATAGTTCTATTTATATACTAGTCATAGTAATTTTTTTAATAATTATTAATTAGTAGATACAGTCTGTAAATTAAATTTTTTACAATCCATAGGTCTTATTTTTCTGATGACGGTATCAAGTACAACATTGGACGAGTTCCGATAGGCGGCACCGATTTCTCGACGCGCAAGTATACGTATGCCGACAATAAAGGCATACCAGACTTGAACAATTTCGAACTAGCTCCTGAAGACGTAGAATACAAAGTATACTATTATATTATTCAGTACCTATATAAAGTCTGGTGTATAAATTATATTTTAATAAAACATTGATTTTTTTAATATCAACCCCAGTTATATTATCAAATTATAATAATACTGTAAATAAAAAATAAAAAAATTAAAAATGTGTTAATGTAGATAGAGACGTATTTTGAGTTGTAAGCACATATAGATTAAATTTTAAGGCTGTCTTATGACTTTCGATTTAAACAAGTAAGCCAATAATTATTTGAATAAAATAAAAACTATAACACATTTCCATCACTCAACATATATGTTGAATATTTCGATTTTTCCATTTTAAAATAACTGTCTTATTATTTAATTAGTAATTTATAATTTTAGGAACTTAAAATAATAATAAGTGCATTTTTATCAAATTTTGTATAGCTAATTTTTTAGAATTGATTAAGTGTTAGACCGAGTCGAATGCTTGCGCAATATTAAGAAATGCAATAGAACAGTATTTTTTCGTTTCGAGGGAGGAAGCAATTAGATCAGCAACTTAAGTCGGTGAAAAGTGGCGTATTTTGAGTGAAATCCAAATTGGAATTTGGGTAAGGCATTTTTTTCGTGAGACATTGATAGTAGTCTTTTGAGGAGAAGTTTTTCCAGTATTTTCCTCAGTACTGGTAAAAGATTAATTTGTGTCTATAGTATATGAATCCACCTTATCAGGTGGTTTGTTTGGTTTTGTAATTGGAATAACGACATTTGTCTTCCAGGTGGTGAGATAGTTTTGGTAAAAGGAGAAAAGGAGAATAGTATTGTAAAAATAGGTAAACAGAATGGTGTTTTTAGGTGGTAAATTGTTGAAGATTTTATTGCTGATTTGATCGTGGCCTGGAAATTTGTTTGTCTCAAGTGTTTTGATAATTGATGATATCTCGTTAGGAGAGGTGTGTATTGCAGGTAGAAAGTGAAGAAGGATAGTATTGTTCATTTGATCAATATGAGAAGTGTCGAAGAGAATTGTGTTTGGTTTGAAAATATTGGCGAAATGTTGCGCAAGCAATTTTTTCTTTTCTTGAGCGGAGACGAAGTTTTGATGATGAAAAGGAGGGAAAATTGTTCTGCGTCTGAGTATGGATTTTGCTTTTTTTCAAAAAAAAAACCATTATCTGGCGATAGTGAAGATAGGTAAGATTCTCAGAGATCATTTTTATGTTTTTTGAAAAGTTTTTTTAGTTTGTTTGAAAGAGAGTCATATAAATGACGATCTTCAGATAATAGGAATGCTGTCATTTATTGTGGGTCAAACGTTTTTCTGAGATGAGTTGACATATTTCGGGAGTAATACGGTTGTCGCTTCTCGTGTAAAAATATGGCGATAAAGAGTTACTTTTTGCATATAAATTTTATCAGTGAAAGTATTGATTGCTTGGTCGACGTATTTTTTAACTTGATATTGAGATGGGAGTTGATAAATAAAATATTTCTGAACCTAGGCCAATTTACTCAATTTTGTGTGGGCTTGTTTGAGATTTGGGCACTAATTTACAATAAGACTATAATATGGTTTGAGTCAGGGTAATTTAAATTGGTTTTTTAAGTTTTAAGATGATTTGACAGGTTTGACAGATAAAAGTTGAGAATATCCGGGCGTATATTTGTATGTGTTGGCCAATATGATGGAGCAGCAGGGCAGTGTTTTACCATGTGAGTATAAAATAACACTGAGAAGAAAACAATCTCTGTGTGTAGTTATATTTAGTCACAGGTTAGGTGTTTAGCATTGAAGTCAGTCTCAATAATGAATGTGTGATCGAGAGAAAGTAAGAAGGTTGATAATTCGTTTTCAGGAAATCAGAAGCCTGGAAGCAATGACTTGAAGATTGTTTGAGGTGTAGAAAAGGGGAATAGATAACATGTATTTCCTCGCCATTCTATTGATATATCATTGAATGTGAGTGATATTGGGGAGTTTCTAGCAATATAATGAGTTGTATTCAAAGCTTCAAATCCACTTTACTGTTTGAGATTTAAATACGTTATTGGTGCAGTATAATTGTAGAATTAAATAAATTCGACAATAATATTATATGATGATGTATTATAATATTTATTTACAGATACCACTGATAAAGATTTCAATGAATATGGCATCGGACGAAATCAAGTTGATTGGATCAGCGTGGTCAGCCCCGCCGTGGATGAAAACCAACAACGACTATTCCGGCATAGGTTATCTCAAACCAACATTTATGGAAGCATGGGCAGAATACCATCTAAAGTAAACGAAAACATTTATTATCATATTATTATACTATAATGGCATCGTAATTGGTTATTATGATTGTTTTACCGAAACATATTTATGCATTTTACATTTTTAGTTTAGTAATTACCTATATTATACTTATACGAAATATAGCCATACAAGTATACAACCAGCTATTCAGTATACAACTTATTCTATATTCCAAATTAAGACTATTATATAATTAATTTCATAATAATATGTATGGTTGCTAGTACTGTAGCGATAAGGTGTACCTAACCCATTCTTTGCAGAATGATATAGGTTTGAAATTGCAAATACCATCTAAATTTTAGACGTCCAATTTTTTTTTATGAAAAAAAAAGGAATTTTTGAAAGCATATTTGGGCCTATAGCATTCACATTATCCATATATACCTATATTCTATAAATTATAAGTTATAACCGAACAAAATTATAAATTTAATCCATTATTTCATATGTTGATATATGTTGAAGATTTTTAGACGAGTATCGCAAACAAAATTTGACTTTTTGGGCGTTAACCACGGGTAACGAACCGCTCAATGGCATTGTCCCTGTGAACCGATTCAATTCTATGGGCTGGACTCCGATGTCTCACCGCGAATGGATCGGACGTCACATGGGGCCTAGATTAAGGAGTTCCGAACACAACAGCACGTTATTGTTCGCCATCGACGATCAAAGGATTGTATTGCCTTGGTGGATGAAAATGGTACTGTAAATTATAATACTATAACAATAATTATTTTAATCTAATTACATATTGTTGTAATATGTAGATTCTTATCGTGTAATATATTGATTATTTATTAACAATAATAATATTATAGAGTAGGTTTATTTAAATACTTACAGTATATATAAGAATATAACATGGTGATACTTTTTAAGTAGTTTTTTAGTTATGAATTTTAACGTGCAGATAAACCTAACCTAACCTAACCTTGGCTCGAGATACATAAAAATAGTACACCCAATATTCTTTAAAAAAAACTTAGTTTAATAACCTATACTTACATCGATCGTGTCTTGTTCGATATAATCACGTTAAACTTAAAATCATGATTACTGAAACCAAGATTAAAGCATATTCGGTGATATCGGCCTTTATAAACTAAATCACATTTTTAAAATTGACTTAAACAATTCCACACTCCGTACACTTCATTAAAGTATTAAGTAACTGTATATTTCCCCATATTTTACTTTTTTATTCTTCTCTACAGCCTAATGCTTAATTGTAGTAAGTTCCTTGAAAATTCAATATTTCATTCAACCTCTATTCCATTTTCAATACAAATTCTAAATCTATCATAAAAATTATAATTACTGTTATTTTCGAAGTTGCAGACTTCATCATATGTAATAAGTATACCTGTTATTTTTATTTTATATTGTTCTTTATTAGATGATTACATTATAATTAAAGCGCTTGGCTGAACAACGAAACAAGTGCCAATTTCGGTAATATTGCATTTTTTGGTGAAATATGGAGACACGGGTACAATTTAATGAATATGATATTAATTGCGTTGAAATATTATTATTTTATTATATTATAATATTATATTTTTATTATTTTATAATTTAGATTTAATTTTGAATGTTTTGATTCGTGGAATAACGTGACACGTGAAAATTCCATCATGTATTTTTTACGATATCTTATTATTGACCAATTATAGTATAAATCTATTTATAATCTAATTTAAAAAGAGTTAATTAACATCTTTATTAAGATATCATCTAATCGCTTAATTTCTTAGATAGAACAAAAACAAATAATGTAGTATACATAATATATTATCCGCATAAAATAGTTACATAAGTCAGACGACGATGGCAGGGATGTACAAACAGCTCAAATCTTAAGGTGTCACTGCATTCATTTTTTTATTTTATTTTTCTTGAGTCTTAGGTATAATATAATTAATTGATAAACATTTTTATAGAACAAGAAACTTAATTTTACCCTACACAATATTGATATATATCTACATTCTACCTGCTTATAATTAATCATTAAAAAAATCTTATGATACATATTCACTATATAGGAAACCTATAAATTATAATTATCATTAATTTTGAGGTTTGCGTTCAGTTTTATTGAAAAATAATTTGGTTAATTAATTAGTAATAATTAATAACATTATTTAAAAATATATTTTTTTATACGTGGATCAATCGTTTGATTTTAATTGTTTATTGTTTATACTTGACATTTTGACGCACAAACGATATTATTAACTATTTTTAACACATATTATATGAATGGTACCTATAATTAAAAATTTGGTTTCCCTTGTAGGTTTGATATTTGTATAAGGATAATAATGTTTGTATATAAGTTTAAATAAAATAAAGAAAAACTTTTTTTTCTGCTATAGCTTATGAGCGACGAACAATGTGCAAAATATATCGACGGAATAGCAGTGCATTGGTACTTAGACTTTATTGTTCCTGTCAAAGTTTTGAATGAAGTGCACAAAAACTTTGGTGATAAAATCATAATGAACACTGAAGCGTCCCAAGGTAATTTTTTAAGTTTTTTTTTTTTAGTCATAGCCTTTAATATCAAATTTAAAAACACAATTCCCACCATTTGTGTCTGATACCATCAGCTTCGGGTATGTAGTCTCACTTGATCTTCACACCTCACTCTGGAGCATCCTATTGGTCTTTTTCGTGTTAAGTATTGCGTAGTACCAGATGTTTAAAAGATTCTTCTTTGCATCAAGTACAGTCGGTTCACTTTAATCTTCTTTTTTAATTTCGCTCACTGAAAAAGTACCGATAAAGTTCCTTTATTTTTTTTGGTTTTTTCACTCTCTGGTGTTAATGTCCAAGAAAGAGCCAAATATTTTTCTTAAGACCTTTCTTTTTAAAACTAGAAGGGTTGTACATTTTCTACGTTTCGTTTCCATACATGATACATCACTGTAGATCTTATTATGGTTCGGTAAAGTTGTATTTTCAAACCTTTGGATACCATTATCGACTTCAGTACTTACTGTGTTCAAATATTTCAGACCATTAAAGTATCTGTTTACTACTTGTATCTTGACTCTTATTTTAGCTTGAATCTTGTTCTTTTGAGTAGTGCGTGAACTCAGGTAAATTAATTCTTGTACTATTTTGAATTTATATTCGTCCACTTTTAGATGGGTACGCACATCATCTGCTTGTTCTCTTTTTTGAGTAATCATATATTTTGTTTTTTCTCGTTTACTTCCAGACATATTCACTCTGATGTGGATGATAATTTTCTAGTTTTCTCGATGATATTATCCTCTTCACTTTCTGCTAGAAGCATTACCATAGTACTATCGTCCACGTATGCTAACAAACTAATTTTACACTCACATGTTTTGTACGGTCTTCCTTAATTATTTTTTTTCAAAGCTAGATTAAATATGATAGGAGATAGCGCGACTCCTGCCTTAAGCCAATTATTAATTGTGGGTTATTGAACAAAGAGTCCCCATTTAAATTTTGATTTTTGTGTGAAAAATACTTGTTTTTATTATATTGACCAATATCTCTGACATATTAAAATGCTGAAGTATATTTAATGGTGACTTTTTATATATACAGTCATACACCTTTTTAAAATCGATGAACTGTACTTGCGCTACTTTTTTGTAATATTCCCACATATTTTGGATAAACTGTCGTAAAATGAATACATGATCTATTTTTTCTAAAGTCAGCCTGACAATTCCCTAGTGAATCCTTTGCTCAAGGTTTGATTCTTTCTAATACACAGTAAGATAGTATTTTATAAGTCACGTAGAGTAATTTCTAAGTAATTATTATAGATTTATATGATATCCTTTTTATGTACTTATAGTACAAATTATTACTGTTTTCCAATCTTCAGGAGTTTTTAATTTTTATACACACGTATAATATGATATTATGTTTGAACTTAATGTACGTTTTTTATTAAAGGACAAATTTTAGTCTCCTTGATTGTCTTATCATCTCGTCCAAAGTTTAACAGTATAACATATAAGATAATAAACATAAATTAATCTACGACCATGCAATGTCATAGCAATTTGAATTTTAAGCGCTCATAAAAATTTAAGATGACTACTTGCCATTTAATAAACATTTAATTTTATTATAGGTAAAAAGACTTATGAAAAATCTTTTGTTACATTTTAAAATTTTTAGTATAAAAATAATTTACTTATGAATTTCTAACTGTAAAATAATTTGATAATTTTCGAGATTTCAATAAATTTTGTTAAAATTCTAAATTTAAATGTTTATAAAAAATATTGAGGCTATGGATTTTTGATTTCTTTAATTATTAAATTTTTTAGCATTTGCCCCAATGAAAATGTTTTTGTCAACATTTATAAAATTAAAAATAAAAGATTTGTTTTTCCCAATCATTTTAAAAAATACTGGTAATTTTCAACTTTTTGAAGTACAAACTAAATAATAGGTACATCTTATTTGTATTTCTTTATCAGTAACCACCATCGAAGTTGATGACTGAAGAATTTTTCAACTGTTTATTGTGTATACACATATTACTATAAAGTGAATATATTCATCATTCCGCTCAGAATTTAAAATTTATTTGATTTTATTTTTAATACTTCATTATTTTAAAAGTATGATAAGAACAACAATTTAGACTCCAAGAATTACTTTTCATATTTTTTGCATACCTATTATAAATTGTATTAATCTCATCATTCATATTCCAGCCACTTTGACATTAGTGATTAAATATTACCTCAAAAGTATGAGTAATGAGTATACGTGATATAATATATAATATATATTGTATTAATCGAGGCTTAATTATAAATATTTTATAATAATATGTAATACACCTTAGATGCAAATGGTTTTGGTATTTTTATAAAATCAATTTTCATTATAGGTGACAAGCCATGGGATTTCGTCAAAGTACAGTTGGGAAGTTGGGCCAGAGCTGAAAATTATGCGAACAACATCATCGACGTAATATATTTTATATTAATATTTATACAGTAATTGTTAATATATATTATATACTATAAACCTAAATAAGTTATTACAGTAATTATATATACTGAATGTCTAGCTATACAGAGTACAGAGTGTAGGTATTTTTTGTCGTTGTGCGCATGGTTTTTTATTATGGAACAATAATTTAGAATTTCGAAAATAACTAAGAAACAAATGTTTCTTTATTTTTAATCAGGCATTTTTTTTTTTATCACAGTTTTAATATTTTTAAGCACGCAGTTAAATCAACAAAAAAACCAATATCATTTTTTTAAATGGTAACAACTATATTTTTAATGGATTCTGGTGGACTGCGATAGAGCTTTATTTCTGAAAATGTAGATGGTGAGTTTATCAATTTTGGTCCATTAATTTATTCACTACAGTTCATCGATACTCTAAAGTTTAGTAAATTGATCAATAGTTTTAATTGAAATAATTAAAATGAATTTCATTTAATAGAAATTAGACAGCTACTTAAATCATTATAACAGCATTACCAGAATTTCAATTTAATTCCGCACAATTATTTATATAGGTATTTATTATGCGATATGTATGTACTAACTACTAACATTTAGATAAATCAATGCAGTATTTAAAATAAAAATTAATTTCAGGATTTAAATCATTGGGTGCAAGGATGGGTGGAGTGGAATTTAGCTTTAGACATGAAGGGAGGTCCGACTTGGGTGTCTAACTTTATCGACTCGCCCATTATTGTTGATAAGACTAAAGATGAATTCTACAAGCAGCCAATGTTTTATGCGATTGGACATTTTTCAAAATTTATTTCCAGAGGTTCCATTCGTATAAAATTAACACAGACATCGGTTGTGAAGTCAGTTGGTTTTAAAAGGCCTGATGGAGCCGTGGTTATTGTTTTATACAACAGGTATTTTATATTCCATGATAAATTATTAAATTTATGTATTGTCGTACCTCATTGATTATTGTTTAATCAATGCGTACCTATTAATTATATTATTAGTTACATTTTTACATATCTAATACATATACTATACCACCATATAAGCATACGACTATTTACTCCTACGGGAATTTTTTACCATTTATTATGCGAGTATTAAATAACCAAAACTAGCTTTCTATTATTATAAATACGACTAAGATCGTAGGTAAATGAAAAAAAAAATAGTGATGTTTATAAATTATAATAATTTCAAAGTCAATAATTAAGATTATTGATTCATCAATTAACAGTGTATAAAATATACTAATTAAATTAATAAAGATTTTTGATTTGTTGCATCATGTATCTTTAAAAAAATTATATTTTATAGGTTAGAACAATTACAATTTTAACCATCAATAATTATTGAATATATGTATAATAAAATATTAAATACCTAATTAAATAAATTTATCTCGTACAAAATTATTTTTTTTTAATTGATAAATAATTTATTATTAAGAAAAAATAAATTAGGTGTAAATAACATAATATATATATTATTTTTTCATTAATTTAATTTTAAAGTAATCTTGAATTAGAAAGATACAGAGTATTTTTACTGTATTTTAGTTATTGTCATAACAATCTTGTATAACACTAGGTGTTTTTTAATATTTAAGTCCAACTCATATACACATTAAAACACTTATTAGTAATTTTCTTATAGTTCAAATTTTAAAAAACAATGTTTATGTTTTCAGGAGGAATAAACCAGTCAATATTTCTATTAGAGATCCACAGCGAGGTGTTATAGGTCTTAACTTACAAAAACAATCTATAAATACACTAATTTTTTGGTGATAATTAAAATTGACAATATTTATTACTGTTATTTTTATCATTTATTCAATATTAAATGATATACATTTTTAGTTACATAATATTAAAATATTTAATAATTTTTTATGACATGTATAATATGTCTTATGGCTGAGGGTCATTCTGTTAATTTGTGCGAAACTAAGAACAATGACATCATGAGTGTTTTATGTAATGTGTGTGCGTCGATGATGGTAACTAGTTACCGGAAATTAACAATAATACAAATGTTATTAAAATCGCGGTAGTGTGTGATCTAGTAGTAACATTAGGTATAGCTCGTTGTATAATAATTATACTAATGATAAAAATAACTCATTATAAATTATATAAACATAACTAATATTGGTTAATAGTTTGTTTGATGATGTCAGTAGGTGGGAATCATCGGTATTTGTAATTTTAGTTAGCTTATAATTGAGTACATTTCATATTTCAGTACAGTAGTACACACTGTCCTTTATTATCAATCACTAAAAGTATTATAAATAACAATTATGTTGTTTAAATTAAAAAAAAAAAAATATATTCAATAAATAATTAACATGGGGTCTTTGAAACTTGTTTATTTTTTTTACAAGTGTTGAAAAAGTTATCTACAGTTTAATCCTTGTCTTTTCATATTTAATATCTAATTGACGTTGATATTTTTATATCAACTGTATTTAGTAGAAACAAGAAATATATATACATGTACCGATGAATCTACATGTAGTGTAGATACTCTTTGTTTTTTCTACACATTATGTCTAAAAATACATATATGTTCGATTTATTTAGTAATATGACATTTTTAAATGGTTCATATTATACTATGTTAAAGCAGAGTTTAATATTAAATTATTAATTAACAAAATAGTAGCATTAAATAAAATAATGTCTTTGATTCTATATATTTTCTAGTAGGTATGTATAAATCATGATGAAACGTTAAACTATACCAAACTATTATCGATGATAATATTTAACAGATGTAAATTGAATTTTTAATCATGTTCTGGATAATATTGTTGAAATTTTGAATATACTTCTTTAGCAATTTCTATTGATGATGTAGCTAATATTCTCCGATTCATCAATTTAAATTCATTACCTAAGTATTACATAATAAAATCATTAATGTATAATTTATAAATAACTTAATTTGATTAATAAATTAAATTATTAAAAAATTAATTACCAGCTGGATCTATCACACTACCCCCAGCTTCCTTTACAATAATGTACCCAGCTGCCATATCCCAAGCATGAATACCCATTTCCATGTACAGATCAATAGCGCCTCTAGCAACTTGAGCTAAATTCCAAGCGGCTGAACCACCAGAACGAACACTAAAAAAAAATAATTTAAATGTCAATATTTATTCAATGATTGAAGAAATTATTATTAGGTGGGAAAATATTAAAAATCTACCCATGGGCATTTGTTGCTAAATAATTGATGTTGTGGTTAACAATATTCCTGAATTCTTCAGTTCTTACTGAACCAAATTCTACAGCGACTAGAGCATCAGTAAGTTCTAAAAAAAAAAAAATAGTAATAAGGTAGTATTTTGTTTTAAAAATAAACTAAGTACTTTTTAAAATACTCACGTTTTACACCACTGACTTTAATTGGTTCATCATTTAAAAATGAACCTTCACCTTTGATTGCTCTAAAAAACATATCCAATATAGGATTAAAGATAACTCCTAACTTAACATCACAGCCAACAACCAAACCAATAGAAATGCAAACGTTTGGATAACTATGCACAAAATTGGTGGTGCCATCCACAGGATCAATGACCCAAGTTGGAGCACACGTTAGTTCTTCTTTAATACCGGCAGCAAATGATTCCTCTCCAATGAATCTTAAATTATATGATATTGTTATTAGTTATTAAGTGGTAAGTGATTTATAGTAATATAATTACTATAAATTTATATACTTGTGATGTGGATATTTTTGTTTGATTCCCTCAATAAGTAATTTTTCTACTTCTTGATCTGTTTCAGTAACAAAATCAATAGAACTGGCTTTAGTCTCTATTGTTTTTTTTTCATTGATTCGAGATTTAATGATCTATAAATAAATATACAACATATTATAATACTTAATAGTCAAACATATTTAAGCAAGTTTTGTACCAATTATACTTAGGCACAAAAGAGTGGGAACAATATAAATATTATTAATATTACATAACAGAAAGTTTATTATTATAGTTTATATTAATTAACTTCTTATTAGGATATAAAAAATTTAATTAATCATTGATAAGAAATTTAGTCTAGAAACAGAAATGAATAATATAAATAAGTTTTTTTAGGATTGAATACCTAGTTGAAATAGCTTATATAATTCAGTCATACTATTAAAAATAAATATCACTCTCTTCTTCCAATATATCAATCAGATAATTAACAATCAAAAAATATTTTGATCAAAATAAACCATATTCCTATTACAATAGTCCAAATAGTCTCAGTATACTCATAAGTCATAACTCAACAAGAAATTTTCACAACTAATTAAATCATTGTGTCTGTTATACACAATTTGGTTTCAAATATGAATCAAATACATCAATAAACCAATGTCAGTGCATCATCCATGGAGAAAACTAATATTGCTCTGGAGTATTCTTTGATCATATTTTGATCTATTCTAAGGTATTTTTTGATCACGTATAGCACACTGATTTGTAATTTAATATATAAATTCAAATTTCTTCTTGTTCTTTATTACTTCATAATTTAATCTTTTAAAGTGTTATGTATTTATATAACAATGCATGTTTTAAATATCACCTTATTAACGCTAAAGTTCTGCATGAAACTATTCTAGTAACCACACTTTATAATATTTTTACTTCAGACATTCCAAATGCTACAACTTTTGGCTCTTTGCTGATGATACTGGTATAATTGCATCTGACCAAAATTCTAAAATAGCATTCTTTAAACTCCAGTCATTTTAACCAACTACAAACTTGGTTCTTAAAATGAAGAATAAAAATGAATGAGTCAAAATCATCCCACATCACCTTTACATTATGTCCCACATGACTTTTCTTTGATCTGTATCAACAAAAGACAAATACCAATTGAACAATCAATAAAATACCTTGGAATTTATCTAGATAGACAACTTACATGAGCAACTCATATTAAAACAAAAAGAAAAGGTTTAAATCAATAGGTTTTATTAATTGCATTTCCTATTAAAATCCAAATTATCATTGCAAATAAATAAATATATATTAATATACAAACTAATCATCCACCCTCTGACTATTTATAGAATCCAATTTTGAGAAGCATTCAAAAACTCAAATACAAAACTTATAGAATCGTTCAAATTAATATCCCTCAGAATAATAAAAATGCTCCATTGTATGTTAGTAATCAAACACACCTTATTTATGATAATTTCTATTTAGCATCTAAATTTTAAAAACGATTCTTTAATAAACTATATAATCATTTAAAATTAAAAAAAAAAATCAATTTTTGAAATCAGATTGTAGAGAATTTATTAATATTATTATTATTTATGTATATATGTTTATAGAATGATATAAATGGATATTTTCTCTACTTATGTCTTTTTTATTTCATTTTTTTTTCTTTTTATCAAATTTACTTTAATATTATTTCAGATTGTAAATTTAAAAAAATAAAAATAATTAAATACATATTATTGTATCTCTACATTTATGTAAGAATAAAAAAAATATAACCAGGTACAAATATGAAAAATGTAAATTACATAATATTTTAAAATAGTAATGTAGATTTAACATAATATAAGTACTTATGCAATAATAAAGAAATTAAATAATTTTTATCGCTAAATTTTTGTGCAAGATTTTTCTTTTAAAATTTAACAAAGTATACATAACTTTTGAATGGGAGATAAACCCTAAACTATTATCAATGAACAAAAAACATGCATTTCATGTATTTTTTATGCTCTAGAAAGGCTACAAAAGACTAGATCCCCACATCCCTATTTGTTTATAGACAAAAATGGAAAAATCAAAGCATTAATCTAGAGAGTAATTATTGTTGAAATTCACTTAAAAATCAGGTAGGAAAGTTTTTTTGTCAGGGCAGTGTAATTCGTTCTAAAATTTGTTTAACATTTATGATCTACATGGCGATTGTTGTAATCATTTAATTGGTAAAAAAGAATTAGGTACCTACTGTTGTAATACTATCATAAAGATAAATGATTGTAAATATCACAATAATGCTAGTTAGGTATATTAGTAAGAATTTGAAAGTCATATGGCAAAATTTAAGTAAATTTAATTAGGTAGTTTTAAATAATTTAATAATTTTCAATCACCTTGCCGGCGTGCCGCGCGAGTCTCGTTATCAGTTCTAAGCATTCGTGTAGATTGACCTCTTCGTTAGAAGTGTTAGAACCAGACATGTTAGTTATTTACTTTATTATAAAGTTAGATAGTCGGAGGATGAAAACAGTATCGTGTTTCAAGAGAGGTCGTTTTAACAGCAACTAATTAGCTCGGTTGTAATGGAAAATTGTCGTTTTACTCGTCTTACGTCTGATGAATGATGAGTGATGACGTCGAAAACTAACACTTAACAGCAACTGCAAACAAGTCACTAGTCAGAATCCTAACTTTTTGTCGGCAAAATCGGCTAATAATGATGTAACTACAATACCACAGATAACAAGTTAAAAATCGTTAATTTGCATTGATGGTTACTGCGGTCGTGGTCGTTAGTTAACTAAATATATTACAGTATATTTATTCTAAAATAATTTATCTACAGAATGACAGAATATATTATAATTAATTTAATCTTAGGTCTTAGTCCATAGAAAGGTTTCTAAGCATATAAATATATAATATTCTTATTTCTTATGACTCCTGTAGTCAGAAGAAACGAAATATTCCATGGAAAAAACGCGAACATTGACGAGAGTGCCGGACGCATCCGTCACGCCCGAACGTACCGTTGTGTTTGCACTGTTTGCAGTTCGCTTTGTCGATGATACTATTACCTATATGGTGCCTACTACCTACCGTTTATAAATTATAATATAGATAAAATATAAACTGTTCGATGAAATAGTAAACGACGCGTATCGCCGTTTCATCACAGTTTTGATTTGTTTAATCATTCGATTCTTGCTGGTCTGAACTGTGAAGGTGATTGACGCTACGCTGGATACCGATCGTTTTTAAAAACGGCTAGCCTGGCCTACGTCGAAAACGTCCTAATGTGCACTGACATATTCGACCTGATGTAAACAGCACGGTCCTGTGAGTATCGCATCGTCTCGCGACAGTCCGCTGTCCTAATATTAGCAATAATAACAATTTTTTATGCTCAACATTTGTCTCTAGGCTACAGTGAGCTTATTCTATCTATATTTTATATCCCCAACGTAAGACTCGATGTCCTTAAAATTTTCAAATTGCTGTGTGCGATTTCACAGTAAATAAATATGTATATTATTACTGCTTTGTAAAATTTGTTGATAAATGTCGAGTTCACTATTTTTATGAATTTTCGTAACTTTTTTCAATTAAATAGCTAATAACATTAAAATAATGTCAGCCATTAAAAATAAAAAATCGTAATTATTATTGTTTCGTTTATTATTTTTATTAAATATTGTAATAAAATATATGACTTTAGAAATAAGTTAATTAAAGCTAGTACCCATATTATATAAAATAGGCAGCTAGGAATTGGGAATTTAGAAAGCTGTAATATTGTATATTTAATTATATTTTATTGGTCGAACAGACTACACTAGTTATTATGGTATTACTTTGTAAATTATAATCAAACAAAATATTGTATCTTGTAAGTTATTGTATCAACCCCCCCCCCTCCAAAAAAAATTATACAATTAACTATTTAAAGAATTCAATTGTTTTAATTTGTTTTGTCTTAAAAGTTTTAAATATTTTAATCATAAATACATTTTGTATTATCTTGCTGCCTATTTTTAATTACATCCTTATTATCAAATCAATTTCAAATTTAAATATTTTGTACCTAAAAAAATGTTTTGCTTAACTCATTTTTAGAGCTATAATAACAACATTTACGTTTTTATATAATACTATTAAGAGTATGAATAAATGTAATTACAAATAATATATTTGTTTATAGAATTTTGTATATTAATGGGAAATTATATTATTTTGTTTTACCATTGTTCTTAAGAGCGGCAACGTGTTTTTCATTTGGTAGGGGGGCAAAGTATAAAATTTAATTACAACTACCACCCACAAATTTAGAACTAGTGCCATCATATTAAAATTTTAATAGTGGAAGTGGTACTAAATAATCACAAGTTTCATGATTATATTGTGAATGTAAGCTCCATAAAGTCTTACAATTAGTATATTTTTAAGATTTATACCCCTCCATCTAACCATCTGCCACAATTACCTTAATTAAATATAAGAGCCCTATAAAAGTATGTATTTGGTGCCTTAGATATTCTGTTAATATGTTAATTCAATGAAACTTCCATATTATAAAATCTCATGAGCTACGGCAAAAAAAGAATTTTTAATAAAAAATAATTCAATAAATAAAATTAAATTTATTTGGTTTTTAAAAATATTTTGTTAAATTAACAAAAGGTTTTATTGTATAACTTAATTAATTAATAAATTTTTAAGAAATATATAATCTGTAGTTTGAGATACAATAAGAATATACGCTAAATTACAGCGATAGTGAATTATTTAATAGAAGTCATTCAAAAATAATAATTTTTTTTTTTAGTTAATGGTTATTTTCCATGCCAGATAAATCATGTTTAATTCAGAATTGTTGTGATATTATGGTCAATGATACAGATTACCAACAATTAAATATCAGCGCCGATACCATGTTAGACAATGATTACGAACCTGGTAATTTATTTTTAAATTTTATATACACCAACAGCAATGGTAAGAAAAAAATATAATTAAGTAAAAAAAAATATTTATAAATATTTATTTCAGTTTCGGTAAATGAACAAGAAGGAAATAATTTTGATAGCTATGAAAATAATGAAGAAGTGCAAGAAATTTATGAAACTGATATTAATGTTGAGCAACCTAACAGTAAGTTTTGTAATTTTCTAATTTTTGATTATAAGTAGGTACCTAAAAGAAAATAACAGTTTTAATTTTTATAAATGTTATGTTGTGTTTTAGACATTTGGGATGATAATTCAATTCGTTATTTGATTTACTGTTGGAGTCAATTGAGAGATCAGTTTGCAAATTGCCCAAGTAAAAAGAAGGAAACACTATGGCAACTTGTGTCAGAGCGTTTGGTGGATCGTGGTTTTTATTTTGATGCACAGGCATGCCACACTAAATGGCGTAGTCTTAAAAAAGTTTACATGTACAATAAAACTCGTAATTCAAAAAAGGATGGAAATAAACACCAAGTTACTTGGAATCATTATTCTGAAATGGATAAGGCTATTAAAGGGATTTCTTTTGAAATTTCAGGTAAAATAATGTATGAGTTATTAGTATTTTAAATTTCAAACTAAATGTTTTTATAGATATTGAAAACGATGATAATGATGATGATGATGATGATGATGATGATGATGATGGTGGTGATAACAATGGTGAAAATGAAGATGATGACGACTCAAGAGAAAATACAGATAACATTGGGGAATATGAAAATGCTGATTCAACTAGTAAACAAAATACATTCAATTATCTTGAGTGATTTTATTATATTTAACTAAATCAGTATTTTCATATAGGAAGCTATGTTGATAAAACTCAATGGACAGTTGATTCAACTAGGGAATTGATTCGATTGTTTGGTAAAGACAGGAAGAAATTTTCAGCTGTCAGTCAAGGAGGAAAACAGTTGTTGTGGGAAAATATTGCACATCAGTTTTCACTTATAGGATATCACTATTCAGCTAATAATTGTAATGACAAATGGCGTAATTTAAAAATGACTTATAAAAAGAACAAGCAAAGGGCTATCAAATATGGAATAGAATATGTTAAATGGTGTTATTTTAAAGATATGGACAACATATTTAAAAATACTCCAGATGAATGTAAGAAAGCCTATTTTAATGTATTTTAATAGTATTAAAATTAATTTATATTATTATTCTATAGCTCCAGAACTTAATGATATAATTACAGTATCTTTAATTGATGATGAACTCATTGATATTAAAAAAGAAAATGAAGATTATGAAAACTTGAATGTTGTTGAAACCAATGAAAATAATGAGGAAGAACCTAATGAATCCCTAAGTGGTAATTTATCAAAATAATTATTCAACATTTTTTTTGTTTTTATGTAATTCAATCCTAAAAAAAAAATGTAGCTAGTACATCAGATATATGGACAGAACAAGCAACTAAATGTTTGATTGAGTTATGGGGTCTTTACCGTCCACGATTCCTGTTGGCTGCACAAGGCAAAAAACGTTTACTTTGGAATGAAATTAGTAATCAGTTACGTAAAAATGGTCACAACTATTCTGGTTTAGTATGTGATCGTAAATGGCGTCTCTTAAAAGCAAATTACATAAAAAGAAGAGAAAAATATAAAAAATCAGGAGTGAACAGTGTAAAGTGGCAATATTACCATGATTTAGATAGGTTACTAGGTGTACCTGCTGAAAGTAGTAAGATATTATAATTTCTAATTACTAGTTAGGTGCATTTTTATTTTTATTTTAACTTTATGATTATAGTTTCCTGGAGTATGGACTCTACTATGTGTTTGATAGATTGCTTTGATAACCATAAAGAAAAGTTTATGAATGCAGCAACTGGAGAAAAGATCTTGATATGGAAACAAATATCCGAAGAAATGTCTCAAAATGGTTTTAATTATACTCCCAGAGCTTGTGATAACAAATGGCGTACATTGAAAAATCGTTATAACAAAAATAGAATGCGAACAAATAGGAATAAAAAAGTGATTTGGGTTTACTATAATAAAATTGATTCTGTACTTAGAGGTAAATTATTATTGTTAATAACAATTCTCAAATTGGAAGTAAATAATGTTTTTATAAACTTTAGAAATTAATAAAAAATCTTTAAAAGATGAATTTGATAATGGTGACAAAAATAATCAAACAAACGAGGTTAATGAGTTAGATGAACATAATTACATCAGGACATCCAAACCAAGTTGTTCCAATAAAACAAATTCAATCACTGAACTACAGACAATGTTTAAGTTGAGAAATAAGGAATTTGACCTAAGGTACACATTTATAAAATTATTAGATGGTTTTACGTTTATGTAAATGTCTTATATTATTATTTTTATTATCTACCTAAATAATATAATTGTTATTATTATTATTGTTTATATTTGGTCACGCTGTGTGCAATAAGCATTTTTTGCATAGGTATGTTTTATTATTATAATTATTGATTGTATATGTTTCATTGGCATTACATTTTTGCAGCTTATGTCATAAAACACTATTGCTAGGCAACAACATAATTTTTTGTATCAATATCGTTCAAATTTTTCTGAAATCGTATCGAGTTATCGATATCGTTGCCCAGCTCTAACAAATTAGACTGTGTATTATGGAATATCCAGTGGTACTATACCGTGTTCCTCAGTCAGCAAAATATTCCTTTTAAGATAACATTATAATGGATTATAACACGTGCACCAAACGTTATCGGCTAATTTATTATAGCTAAACCTACAAATGTCAAATAGTAAATATCATGTATTTTTCTTGAAAAATATTATTTTCGATATCACGATATCGACATTGTATCGAATTATCGATATCGTTGCCCAGCTCTATAAAACATGGCACTGGCTAACAAATTTAGTCAAAGAATACGAGACCGTCAAATTGTTATTGCCTATGAGTCTGGCATAAAATACCGGCGAACTGACCAACACTCACTCTTGCGCTTTTTTTCGACACTAGTAAGACCCACTCGGGCAGACTTACGTGCTAGGAAATAATTCCTCCTTAACCGTTAATGGGCCGTTGTGACTTTGCGACCTATGTTTTATTTTCATTAAATTAATGTATTAAAAAGAAATGTTAAATTTTAGTTTTACCTATCACTACCTTATTTTTTTCGACAGTAATAAATGAAAATTTATTATTTGATTAATTTATTGATGAATATCTGTTTTTATTTTTAAGGTTGAAGGAAATGGAAGATAATTTTAACAGCAGAGAAAAAGTATTTGAAGGACTTCAATTACAGATGTTAGAAGCTCTCAAAAGGTCAAATGAATTAGAAACACATAAGTTAAAGTTATTGGAACAATTAGTTTCAAGATTACCACCCCATAACTTATAGCTCATTAATGTACATATTAATCAAAAATATTATCAGAATATTTTCCCTGTATATAAATATTAATTGGTAATTAGTAATTATAAATCTATCATAATTTAATGTTTACTTTTGTAAATTAATTTAATTCAATTATATTATGTCTTATACATTTTGTACAAAGTTGTATAAATATTAAATATATCATACATTATTTATAGAACTTAAGATTTTAATTTGGAGCATATTTCTCGGCGTTTTTGAACACTATACTCATCATAATAATCACATTTGAAAGTGCAGCATTCATAAGGTGGACAGTGTATGTCATCATTGTTACCTAAACATAGGTTGTGTAAGCAACAAGCTGCAAATATTAGTATGGCAAACTTGTCTTGTCCCCATAAATCTAAGCATCTATATAAAAAAAAAAACCGTTAATTTGTGTTGGGTTAATGCTGGTATTTGATTTTATACGTACAATAGTCTTGTGAATCTCCCCAATAGTTTTCCAAATGCTAACTTAATGATGTTTAATGGTACCTCAATGGCATCGTTATAGGTATTTTGTGATATTGTATTACAAGTATCACCGGAAAATGGAGTCATTAAATTGGGTAAAAGGGGGAAACAACATTGTCCGACAATATGACTCCAGCTGTTGGGAAACAGTGTGTCTGGATCATTAAGAATCATTTCAGCTAATGGACTTTCTAGAAATGTTGACGTGGTAACCGATGATTTGAGTAAATAACTGGTGAAAACATTATAAAACTGATATTTATTGTTGCATACACACTGAAAATAGATAGCATTTAATATAAGTTACACATTATTAATAATACAAAATAAATACTAGTGTAATTTTGTCATCTAACCTGAATCGCGATTGAAGATCCTTCTTTGGTATGTTTGGATGGATTGGCTGTGCAAGTTTTTTTCAAGTCAACCATTCCAATGACTCCAAGTATACCAGGAAAGTTATTTCCAGGCATTTCATTGAATGCTTTTATTTCTGAATCAGCTTGTTGGTTGATTGGCCAATAGATAAATTCACCCATACGTTTAAACAATGTAGTTGTGACGTCATTAACACATTTATGAGCTGTGCTAATAGCAACGTTAAATTTTGATCCAATTTCCCTAAATAACATAAATTAACTTTGTATGTACAGAATGTCCAATGTGTCTAATGCAACAAACTGTAATAATTATTTATACTTGTAACTTAGAACAGTTCCCAAATATGTTAGAGTAATCAGCAATTGTTTTTCAACATCTATTTCAGTCCTCTTGTATGCCATACTTCCGTATTCTTGCATCAAATGACGACAAATTATCTGTGAAATATATATACTTAATATGATTTTGATATAATGAGAAGAGATGTGTTCTATTTTAAATTAAATATAAAAATTACTTGAAATGAACTTCTTGTGACAAAAAATTGATTTTTGAAATTTGATTCTTCTAATTGTGAAAATTGTAAAATCAATGGACCAATAGATGAAGACATTATTTTGTTAACCTTGTGGTCAACTCTGTTTTCACAGTCATCTCTGTACTTTTGATCTTTTCTATTCTCATAATCATCTATGTATTTCCAGTCATCTCTATCTTCATGATCATCAATGTTCTTGTGGACTTTTCTATTAATAGCTTGCAAAGGCTTGTGTAGAGTTTTACAATCGTCAACTTCCATACATGATAATGCAAATTCTATTTCTAATTGTGTGTTTATTACCTTGGAGTGCAAAATCGTGTTGAGTAATCTTTTATTATCTAGAAACATAAATATCAAGTTGTAAGTTACGATTTTTGATGTTTGTACATGGAGTAGCCAACAAAAATGTTTAAAAATACATAAATATTACAAGGTGATTAATTTAGTACCTAGATTACTTTTTGGTGATGTCTGCTGGTTATGATGTCTGTATACATAGTATGCTTTGACAACACGAAATATCAAATGAATCACATAATTAATGACACGAGTTGGGAGAATAAACAAATTTGCATTGCTTTTATTAATTTTTTTTTTTATTTATGCACAAACAAAAATGAATAAATCGAGTATCGTCTCATCATTTGCAAAATTAATTTTATTAACAAGTAGAGTGTAATGTTTCCAGTCAATTGAATTAAGTAAAAAAAAAAAAAACTAGTTGTAATTTTTAAAGTTAATTTAATGTATATTATAATATGAAAAATAAAAATTACACATTTTAATAGGTTGTTGTTACAAATATGTTTGTTATCATAGCGATATGTTTGAAAATATGAAAAACTCTGAGTACTTACATCTAGTTCCTTAACATATTATTTTTTAGAATTTTATATTCTATTATTGATTATTGAGAGTTACTCACAGATTAATGAAATATTATTTCCAATTAATAATTTGTCTATCTCAATATATATACAATATTTGTTCATTTCTTAATAAATGTGCCATTTATATAAGGGTGGTCAACCCTATATAGTTGGGAGTAAAGAGTAAAGAGAAAAATACTAATAAGCCATAATCAATAAATTTAATTAAGCCAAAAAGATGTATTAAATATAATTACACACTGTCATGTTTTGGGATGAAGCCTTATTCAAGGACTTAGCATTTTATTCATGGAAAACTTAAAGTCCATGTTGTACTTAGTTTAGTTTGAAATGTTTGTTTAGATAGCTGAAATAATTAGGAATTGTATGTTCAATTTATTTGTAGGTAAAATTTAACACATAAAAAGAAAAAAAATAATATAAGATATTTAATTTTTATTAGTTATTTGAAGTTACATAAAAATCAATTGACAAATGTATAAATAAAAAGAAAAAAAAATTAAATACAATTAATACTATATGAGGTTTATGATTTTAAATAGTAAGGTAATTATAATACAACGCTTTAAGTTAGTAAGTATACCGTTTATCAAAAAGGAAAACTTAAGATTGTACAGGCAAAAAAAAATATTGCCACTCAGACTTTCACCCTAAGATTTTAATTCTATAAAGTTTGTTCTTTATAGTATAGTATACATAAATGACAAAAGTAGAAAAAATTAAAATTAAAAACTATCACAAAATAAAAAAAATATCACATGGTAAGTTTTGAAAGAAAACAATAATATCATAATTAAAAGTACATGAAAAAAGTGAGACCAAGTTTTCAGTTTAATTTGCTAGGAATAAAAAAAAATAAAAATATTGTCGCTTAAATTAAGATAAAAAAAAACTAAATTTAAAAATGTGTATGCTTGTATAAGCTATTATAAATCTAAATATTACACTATTGAGTATTTAATGAATATATTATATATATATAAAAATACTCAATTATTATATTTAAATTTAAAATTATTTACATCTTTATTTATTTAGTAATATTCACAAGTTAATTATACTAAACATTATATTAATAAAAATTCATAAACTCTTTATGGTAAAATAATAGGTATGCTGGACTCCTTAATATGTCTTCAAATTGTACTAATTTTACAACATTATCATTGCATTGATACCAATGGCCCATGTGTTGTATATAAGACAAATAATGTCCTCCATTTAGAAGACCTTCATGACAAATTACAGCATACAGTTTATAAATGAACTCACGGAAAGCAAAACACTCATCAATGAAGGTACTACCAGTTACAGTTTTTTTTTTAATAAATTTGTTCATATCTAATGTTTCTGGAAATTCAACAAATGTAGTAATTTTATTTGAAACATTGTCTGATGGCTGTCCAAATCTTTTTAAAATAAAACACAAAACCACGGGTAAATGTTTTAAAATAAGCTGTTTGGTCGATAATTTTTTTGTTTGGCAATTTGTGCAATCCAAATCATTTAATAACTCTATCTGGCCAAATTGTTCTAAGCATGCAGTTAATGTTATATTCGTCGGGTATTTTCCTTTTTCATCCATTGAAAAGTAAATAGGAATATCATTGATTATGTCAATTTTAGATGACACATTGTTACAGCTCTGGCAAACAATGTCACTTTGCAAAACTCCTTTAAAAATTTTATGGATGATACACTGGCAGTTTTCCAGATGTTTTATATCCTTGTCATTTTCATTTTGTATTATTTCTTGTTTGTGTATGATATCCAATATGGCTATAAAACATTCATGTGCATCATGTTGTAAAGCTGATGCCATATACCAAGTATTATCCCAAAATATTTTTAACAACTTTTGCAAGCTAATTACATTGACTTGTAACTTGTAAGATTGCTGGTATATTCTGCTAATTTCACATGTTATACATCGACTGGGCTCTTTTAGAAATGGGCATACATGCTGGTCGGAAAGAACATAATTTCGTAACATTGGTGTATGCATTAGTACTTGAAGTACACTGTTCAAAAAACATGTATTACCCAAGTTAATAAATCCCGGAACTGGAGTAGCACTATCGATGTATTCAATTTCTTTACTGTTTCTCAGCAAGACAATGTCTTTTGTCTGTAAGGATTTATTTTTATAACAATATAATTCCTTATTTAATGAGTTAGCTAAATTCATAATTTCACCATCATAGGTATAGTCATCACAGTGAGCACAGAAAATATGACTAAATGTTAAGTTTATACCAAAACTATGTTGAGTGTTTTTGAAATGTTCAAGAAAGTGTGTGGGACATGCAAAACACACGCAATATAAACATGACAATAATCGCGCACCTTCAAATTTACACTCATGACATGAGGCCAATTTTTTTTTAGCACGTATTGAATCATCAGATTGACAAGATATAAAATTTAAATGAACAATACGATAATTATTCAATAACTCCTCATTTTTTCTTTGAACTAAATGTTCACAACCAATAACTGAATCCATTTTAAGGTAATAATTGATAAACGTTTAAATCAATAACTTACTACTGATGTTAGTAATTCTCATTGACTGGCTTAAATGCACATAGTTGAATATTTCCTTTTTACTCTGCCCCAACTCCAACAATAAGTATTCAGATAAAATGTCATTAGAACTTTTGTTAGTTAATGTTTTGTAATCTGTAAAAAAATATATAGTTAGTTAATTAATTATAAAATAATAAAACATTTAGTAAATAATCAAATAGAAATATATTTTTTTATATTTTATAAAAACTATACAGTTAATTATAATATATATTGTTAGATAATTTCAAAATGAAAATCTAACAAAAATATTTAGAAAGACATAAAAATTAAAACAGCAGTAGTAAAGATATTTAAATGTCTCTATTAATGAAGTCCAATAATTAAATTCATTTATCAACATTGGTATAGTTTATGGCTTCTAAAACTTTATTTTTAATTTGCTGATTTTATTCGGTTGTTGTTTCATTTAAAATTATAATGCTTAAAATGAGGATAATATAATTGTAATAATTTTTAATTAATTCATAATAATAACAAAACAAAATACAAATGTTACTAATTAAACTAAAAAATAAGAGAGAGAACAATACCTTATCAAACACATACTTATATTTAATAAAAATAATTGATTTTTAAAAATATAATTAGTAAATGATTATTTCTTTTTGAGCTGACTAATAATTGTAATGTAATATTTACAAATTAAAGAAAATTACTCACATTTCTAGGGTAAAATAGAATAAATAGTAAATAAAAGTTATTTCAAACATGAATATTTATGCATTAGTAAATAATAATTCAAGTTACCTTGAATTCGGACGATTAATTTGAAGGTATATAATATATATATAATGCATAAATGTTTTAACTATAGTATAGTTACCACAAACATATTATCTGTCTGCATAATTTAGATAACAGTCCTAGATCATAAACTATTACAATTATAATATAAAAGTAGAATATTTTTAATAATTGTATAAAAGTAATTATATTTATTATTAGGCACTGCTTTATTTATGGTGTAGACAACCTTAATTGTATAGGGTAAAATAGCTATAAGAACATGGACATGGTAAAACTCCTCTTTAACTATAGAATAATGCAGTAAAATTGCAGATAAGATAATAAAGCTATAACATTCACATGATTAATTTGAACACAAATGTACATTATGCGAGTCATATTTATGCTTTTATCTTCAAATGAATTGTAGAAATAGAACCCATAACAATTTTAGCTTACAACTTACTCAGAGTCTAAAAATGGCAACAACACCAATAGAACAAACTAACATTAATCGAGTAGAATTAAGTTTTTTCTATCGCACTTTCTGTATTGTAGAAACACACCAACACCAGAATACAAATTTGTAACGGTGGTTACACTTACCCGCAGCTGTTTGTTGTCTCGACGGCGTATCGACCACCGCACTTGCTTCGCTGGAAGGATAGACGTTACCGCGTCCAAACAATCTGTTACTGTCACTATTGTCGGACATCACACACACACTCTTGAATCACAAATGGCACGCGCAGATCGCACAACTGAATGCTACCACGCGTGAAAGGGCGGAAAAAAAGCTGGGGATAGATTGTCCACTCGGAAAGAAAACGTAAAAAATCCAATCATTAAACGTACACAAACCGGCAGCGGTATCGACTGTTATCACAAAATTCTCCGACAGCTGCTGTCCACCCGCGTGCCAATGTTATTATAATTCTATGTATAATCTCAATCATACCGTACTCAAAATACATGTGTATATATAAATTATTATTAGTGTACCATGTACTACTATACGTTATTCATATAATCAACTACTATAATACGTCACACGACGTGTTTATATATAATAGTAATAGTAATAATCGTATGCGCCGTAGAGACTAGAGATAAACGGATATAATCATGGATGGCCAGACGTTAAAAACACGTCACGCGAACGCTCCACACAATATATTCAGGAACTTCAGTGCGGGTCGCGGGCACCGTCGCCAGTCAGCTGCTGCTGTGTTGTTATCGTCGCTTGTCGGTTGCACGAAAACATTATAAATTTCTTTTGAGAAAAACGGCAGCAACTGTTGGAAATCTCAAAGGAAAGCGAGCGATAAAAATTACTGTAACCGTTTCATCTCTGAGAGATGCATTCTGTAAGCGACGAAAATATTGTTAGCCACAGCCAATTTATTTTTAAACCTAGAGAGTAGAGGATACCCCATTTGCGCTGCCGCCTCACCCACCCTTTGATCCAAAGTGATACATCGTCCGTCTCTATGCGGCCGTCCCACTCCACCACTACCATAGTCTTTCGCACGGCTGATACCACAGTCACCTCAGTCACCGCCGTTGCATACATTGAGTGGAGGGGACGACACTGTACGCATTTGTTTTGGTTCATCGTTTTTAATCAGCCGCCGCCGCCCGATGAGTGCGCGTATTGTGATAACGGTACGCGATATTTGCGACGAGAGTTGTTTCTCCAACGCGCTGTAGTAGTTGTAGTAGTTACCTTGTTGGAATCGAAATTGAAAACCGAAACGTGCAGGCATTTACGTATTTTGTCGGTTTTCGCCGTTGTCGTTGTCGTCGTCGTCGTCGTCGTGTTTTGCTGTTTAGTTTCGGTTGATATCTATACCCGTCTGTTGTCGGTCTATTGGTTTTTTCCTGATCGTTGCAATACCGTCCAGTTTGGCAATCAAGTCTACTAAATAAGCGCCGAGTTTTTCCATGGTAATTCCCCGGGCACCCGATAGGCCAATTGTTTTTCCCGTTCAAGTTGTTGTTCTCTGGTAATTTTCACCAGAAGACTGCGCTTGTGGTGTGTGGTGGACCTCGATTTTTTAACTTCAGACACCCACAGATTAATCAAGATTTTCTTTATCGGTATTTAATCCTTTTCTATATTTTTACCGCCCTTCTAGTTAGTGGACACTATGAAGTCTGATAAAGAAAATCAAGTTTAGTACTAAGAATAGGTATTTGTTTATGAAATGGTCTGTTTGGATTGGTTTTCCTTCCAGCTTTAAAAAACATCAGAGCAGTTAAGACATTATTTAACACCTTATTTTCTCATAGTATTTGTTCTAAACACTTACAGTTTACTAGTATTAAATTATCTTGTTTAAGTATGTAGTATAATTAGTTATTTATTGTACTCCAGTCTAATTTATTTCTAAGTATTTCATGTATTTTTACCTTATTATATTGCTTAAATATTAAGTAAATCATGTAAAATAATTGATGCAGAATTGTTATTGTTATATATCTATTTGTAAATAATTTTTAATATCACAATAGATGTTTCTATGATTTCCCTACTATTTTCATCTAAACTAATGGCTATCAACAAACATAAACAAAATGTAAGTATCCATGATTTGATAACATTACTTCATTAATGTTATTTTGTGCTTTTTTAAAGGAATATATACATATTATTTGTTTTTATTGATGTAATACAACAATTAAATTAATAATTTGTTACTTGTGTTTGCTTTACTATTGGTCTTTAACATTTTGAAAAGTAGTTGTCTTCAGTGATGTTGAATATTGGCACCAATCAATATATTATATATATTGCTAATTATACCCCTGATATTCTAATAGGTATACAGTAATGCTCTTGCCAACAGCACATTAAGACAATATTTTTATTTTAAGCATCACCTATCAACAGCATGTTGTCATGATATATGCAATTCCAATACTTGAATGTCTATGGCAGAATACCAGTTTTCTTAAAAAATAAAAAAAAAATATTTAAGATTGTGCACATAAGTTCTTTTCAATAACATTTCAATATTTCTTCCTTTAATACTTAAATATTTTGCTATAGTCGTAAAGTCTCGAGAAATGTGCAGTGTAAATACTGAGCACCCACAAATTATTTGTTGATACAGTTGGTGTTACAACGTGACTAGCCCGGTTTACATTTCTACAGGACAGGTGCTATGTACCTACTGGTGGTTTTTTTTTAATAGAAAATACACTATATGCTAATATACAAATTACCCATGAATATTAAATAGCTAGGCACCTAGTTACTATGTATTGAAAAAAATAAAATAAAAATATTCTCTTTGTATTTTACAATATGATGTTATTATTTCAAATAACTAAATACAAATTGTAATTGTATGAAGTTTAATAACTTACAAACCATACTTTTATGTTAAGAAAAATATAAGTAATTTTAAATAATAAGATTTTTAAAATTAAAATTTGCACCATTTTTTGTAAATTTTGTATGAATAAAATAATAATATTTAATGAACAAAGGAAGAAGTTTATGAACACTATCTTCATTGGAATTTGTTTTTAAAGCAAGTTATACATTATAATGTATATTTGATATACATTTTATATTAAATGAGTAACAATATATATAATTTATTTATTATTTATTTATGGTTGAATGTATGGGAATGTTATTCTTGGATAGATATGAGAAAAAATATTAATTGTTTTACTGTTAAACTTTAAATTTATTTATCATTGATTATCTAAAATTACCTACCAACTTCTATGCAGCATATTACTACAAATAATGTGGTTAATGCTATTATATTTAATTTAATCTATTAATATTGTTTTAAATATTGATAAAAATAATATTTTTAACTAATATTTATATATATTATATACAAATAAATTTATTTTTTTTATAGAGAGACGTCTTAGACGTGCGTCATTAGCCCAACGATGAGAAAAAAAATTAAATTGGTGAGTGTTTTTTATTTTTTTCTAGATAAGATAAAACGAGTATAATTTGTTTATGTAGTTTTATCTCCATTAAGTCATTATTGGCACTATTAAGGTATTAATAATGTTCTATCTCTGTTAAATCAACTAAAAATATTTAGGTAAAAAAGTACCTATGTATTTTTGCAGAGTTGATCGCCAGATAGCGCAATAGTTTATATGTAATAATAACCTTAACAAGTAATAACTAATCTTTTGGATTTTTATTATTATATTTAATATGTATTGAATGTGAAACTTAAAGCAGACGCCTTGTTAGAATTTTTATAGGGGGGCGAGCGTTTTAATTGTATAATTAATATAATATGTGCGGGACTTTACATACTCCATTGTAGTCACCAATCTTTTTCAAATGAATAATATCAAATATGAAATATAACCATAAAGTAATATATATATATTTTTAAATCTGAATCATAAGTAGTATATTGTATATGTTGCGTAAATGCTAACGACGAGGGGTGTTTCAACACCCAAAACATTAACTTGGCTACGTCACTGCTAAAGATCACCTACGTTATAATTAAAAATATCTTTTGGTGATTTGAGTTTGTTAAATACATTAAACTACTGTTTTTTAACTTCTAAAAACGTCTAATAAAATTTGAACATTAAACACACATAACATAATAAATTATATTATTATATATTTATTTTTGTTTGAATTATAATCAGATATATATGGTATATCCTATGCCTTGTTAAGATATATCGTGTAGTTGATGAAAGGAAGGTTGTGGTTAGTTTAATGCTTACTTACGTTATTTACACAATTATTATGTGTTATGGCCTAAGATCTGCCAACTTAGTTGTGCGACATATTGAACCTCATCTATAAGAATTGATATTTTGCCAACTAAGTAGAAAAATCGTGAAAGTCTCGTGAAAAATAGTTAATATCATTATGATAAATCAAAATTCCATGTAGGATAAAATATCGGGTAAGTGTAATTATGTAACGAGTTTTTGTAATTAATTTTTAATCATAAATCATTGTACATGTAATTAATGGGAAGTATAATATAGGTATTGAAAAGTCTGAAAACACACTATATTAAGTTTGTTTTATTCTAGGAAACTAATTATTATCGCGTATATCAGTTAATATATATAACGTATATGATTTTTACTAATATTTTTAAAAAATAAAAAGAGGGAGAAAGTTTTTAATCGCTCTTCTATAATTACAGTAGGTGTCTATTGTCTAGTATACATCGCCATTGAATAAGTCACTGTAATGTATGTTTTAAATTTAAATTCAACGATGAATTATTGCTTACGAAAAACGGTTCTAAACGTAGGTAACCTATATTATTGAATATAATTTATGATATATTTTTGTGCTATTAAAGTAATTAATTTTACTATGAGTACATAATACGGTAAATTTATTTTTCATTAATATTTGTAAAAAAATAAATAAAAAAATCTACAAAAAGTCAAAATAATTTGAAAATTTATAGAAAATGCTAATATATATATATTTAGTGAAAATTTCTATGTTCGTTTTAAAAAAAATAATTTTGTCAAAAACGTGTGTACATTTTCCTATTCTCTTTAGTTTTTAAGAACAGTACTCGAATTTTTTTTTAATTTTTCAAAGTACCAACTAGATCTAATTTGTTTCCCAAACCATCTCTATATTGAAAATCGAAACATTTTTACAGCCCCAACGGGTCGTCATGACAGATATACAAAAAAAAAATATTATTTTCTTCTTGTATTAATAGAACATTTTTATTTATCATTGCTAAGATTATGTTTGTAATTTTTATTTAATATTTCTTATATATCCTTAGTTATTTAGTTATATGTTTACAATTATAAAAATCTAAGACAATAAATTATTACGTCATAGTTGTTCGTTATTTAAGTATTGTCATTCATTTAAAAGCGTTATTTAAAATAACAAGTTCTGAACAAAATTAAATAATGTAAAATTATTATTAAAATCAAAGATTCCCAAAAAACCCGGATATTTATAAGGATTACCAGATTATTATTAAAAAATTTAACTAATGATTTTATTAAAACTTAAAACTTGAGAAGTATGTCGTAATACAAATAATTTGTGATTAAATGTTTAAATCTTTATATATACAAATTGTTTTTTTTTATGTGCACTGGGATTTATGTGAAACAATTTTTGACCATGCTTAATTAATTTCATTTACTAAAAATGTTTTTGAATTCATTAAATTTACAGCCAGGGGTCATTATTGCTAGTGATCATCGGGTAGTATCGAATTTTCGAAATAACTATTACCACGTAGGTATACAGTAATTTGATGTTTAGTTAAGTAATAAAAGTTGCCTGTACCAGTATGTAGTTTTAGGTCTTAGAATTTATTTTTAGAATAACTAAAGATATTTTCTTAAAATAAAATCAATCATCGTTTTTAAATTAAAAAAGCTTTCTCAACAGTATTGAAATAAAATCTTAGTAATCAATAATCTATTTTATATATTCTTGACATGAAATCAGATTTTATATTGTTTTGATTTTATAATCAACAGTTATAAACAATGTTAAAGAAATCTTAGAAAGTGTAGTTTTAACAGAGTTTCTTTCATAAACGTTTTTGAAGTAAGTACATGGTGATTTGCGTTTGGTTAGTTCACCATTCTGGTTCTTAACAAAAAATATAATTGTGAATTAGTTAGGTAAGGTACTTAAATGTATTTTTTTCAATAATTGCATAAATCATATATAAAAATGTCTGTTTTAAAATTTTAAATATTGCTAAAAATTATCATTATAAAACATAATTTTTTAATTGTAAAGTATTTTTTATGTATAATATTATGATTTGAACCTGTAGGCTTCTAAGACATGTTCGTTTTCATCATTAAACCAATTTTGTATTGGTTTCTTACTACAATTAAGCAAGAATTTTTGTAATATCGCAGATATTCCCATTTTAAATTATTAAAATTTCATTACATAGTATACACTTTATTGAAATATATTTACGGTCTATAATGGCATAACGTATACACTATACTTATACGACTAAAGCAAACATGAAAGCGAGCTATCATAATGTCTCGTTAAATAAAACTTGACCTTATTTAAAGTATAATTATTAATAAATGTTGTGTTGTTTTCATTAAATCTAGAA